AATGTAGGTAGGTACATGACAGGTAAATGTAAGTATCTACATGACAGGTAAATGTAGGTGATATCTCTTTAAGTTCAATGACGGGTTTTCATTTATATGGTATGAATGAAATTTTGTAAGAAGATTGTATAATTACTTGAATAAAGCATCTTGTCTGACTACCTACCTACCTACCTACATTTACATGCCATGTACCTACCTACCCACATTTACATGCCATGTACCTACCTACCCACATTTACATGCCATGTACCTACCTACCCATATTCACATGCCATGTACCTACCTACCCACATTTACATGCCATGTACCTACCTACCCACATTTACATGCCATGTACCTACCTTCCCACATTTACATGCCATGTACCTACCTACCCACATTTACATGCCATGTACCTACCTACCTACATTTACATGTCATGTACCTACCTACCCACATTTACATGCCATGTACGTACCTTACCACATTTACATGCCATGTACCCACCTACCCACATTTACATGCCATGTACCTACCTACCCACATTTACATGCCATGTACCTACCTACCTACATTAACATGTCATGTACCTACCTACCCACATTTACATGCCATGTAATGTACCCTTACCACATTTACATGCCATGTACCCACCTACCCACATTTACATGCCATGTACCTACCTTCCCACATTTACATGCCATGAACCGTCCTACCTACATTTACATGCCATGTACCTACCTACCTACATTTACATGCCATGTACCTACCTACATTTACATGCCATGTACCTACCTACCTACATTTACATGCCATGTACCTACCTACCTATATTTACATGCCATGTACCTACCTACCTACATTTACATGCCATGTACCTACCTACCCACATTTACATGCCATGTACCTACCTACCCACATTTACATGCCATGTACCTACCTACCTAGCTACATTTACATGCCATGTACCTACCTACCCACATTTACATGTCATTTACACCCACCTACATTTACTGCATAAAATAGCTCGACGTGGGAAAGTTTGTTGTCTCGGAGAGGTAACAGAAGACACTAAAATCATCATTATTCAGAGAATAGAATATGTGTCATATATTTAACTACTGGTCATGTCTCGAGGCATCTTGTGAAAAATAATGTAATACATATATAATAGAGATTAATGAAAATATGGCAAGTTTTCTACAAGTTCAATAAAAATGACACATAACACTATTTATAGTGACACCCAATTTTCTTAATATTTAGTATACATCTGGAGATGAAACAAACAACTTAATAAGAAAAATACAAAAGAGGAATTGAAAATGAAATAAAAACACAATGTTTTATTCACCTTTATGAATATAATTTATATATATACGAATCCGTGAATACGAATGCATTCGAATCCGTGAAGTATTTGCAATATTGTCATGGGACTTTACACTTTGCTATCATTAGCCGACATATTATAGTGGGACCTTGTTGTTAGTGCACAGGTTCTCTTCACGCGACCCCCAGCCATGCCGTTTCATGCTAAAATACGTCAGAGATGTTATCAGATGTTACCCTGACACTGTTCCTGTTGGTGAAATGGGATACGATACATTTTGGTAAAAGCTTAAATATTACTCGTTATCCGACGGACCGTCAACATCCTTGATCAATTTATGAAACTTCCAAGTCTGTTGTTTAAACTTTAAAACTTAGTTTTAAACACGGTTCTTTGTTTTGGAACTTCTGTCGAGGGTGACGGCCACACAGGAACAACCAACGTTCAGAATCGTTTTCATTGAGCTTATTATTTCAAACAGTTATTTCAAAACTTCCAACTTCCAACTTTAAAACTTAATTTTGATCATGGTATATCTATTTTGAATATAGAGTAGTACAGTTCTTTGTTTTGGAACTTCTGTCGAAGGTGACGGCCGAACAGGAACAACTTTCAGAATCGTTTTCACAGAGCTTATGTTATCAAACAATAATAAATGACAATCCAGGTACTTAGCAACCGTTCTGTAAGTAAATCTGTGAATGTCTAGGAGTGCAGCGACCTCGATCCGACCTGTCTGTAACGCAGACCTCAGACTTAGCTCGGCACTTTATCCCCCAAACTTTCCCACGTCAAGCTATTTTATACAGTCATCAAATACAACAAATCCTGACTGTTTTACCGAATTGTCTTAAGATTTCATAAACGATGAATTATATATGCGTCTACTGAGTGACAGTGTACAGGGCTTGCACCTTGTTGTCCATTCAACTTGGACCTACAAATCCCATACTTCGTAATGATCTTAATCTACCCTTTCGGTCTCGAGTGTACCTCGTGGGGGACACAAACAATTTGTTTACCCTTTCTTCGCTATGATATTCGATCCAGTCCCATCCATATCCTGTCACGCTTAATCCTCTGACCATGTAGTTTCTACTACCTCGCCTCTGCACTGTGGTAAATGATTGTGACATGCCTTTCTTCATGTACCATGCATCATGTATCATGTATCATATATCTGTGCTTGAGAGTTGTCCAGGAAATAGCCTGTCCAGAACAAGATTGACATACTAATTGTCATCGTGTACATCCTCACTAGGACAAACACAGGAATGAAACCCTTTCCTTAATCCAGCAAGTTCATTAAGTATGTGTGACTGTATTTTTGGAAGACCTGGCTGGACAGCAATGACACATTTATTTTTATAGGGTGTGAACACTTCCGGAATAATGGAGTAATGATGCTTTGGTCAAAATTAAATGTTCACGTAACTACATCATGATAGTCGTTAATGACCTGGATACACTGGATCAAGGTAACATCTCCGTATCAGATGTAAGGGTGGAAAACAGCTTGTTTGTTTTCTGAATAATACATTGAATATGAGAGAGAAAGAGTCCTCATGAGCTGAAGGAGGTAATATAGCATTGTTCATTAAATACAATAACATAAAGGCGTAGCCCTCCTGAATTTTACATCCAGCTCATCAATGTCCACCCAAATGCCATAGTTCTTCTGAACCATGTCTTTGATACAATCAGCGATAGCCCTGTTTTCCACTGCCCAGTCCACCCTCCTTCTGATGGTTTCGTTGGACGCTTGGTGGAAAGGGGTATCGTCGTTGACATCCGAAATCAGAGTTTTGCCGTCTTTCTTCATTTCTTCAGCGTACATGGCATAACACCACACCCAGGAAGAATGTCACACGCCCGTGTGTAATGTCTGGTCAGGACTTCTGGGGCGATATAATACATTGTACCACAATCTGTCTGAAGGTAGTAGTTTTCGGCGTAATATGGGCCCGTTTTTCTTCCATTGTAATGAGCCAGGCCAATATCAGACAACTTATACATTGATCTTCTTCCTCTTCGAGTATGCAGTAGGATGTTATCCGGTTTGATATCCCTGTGGACGATGGCGTGATGGTGAAGATGTTGTAAACCTTTGATCATGTCCTGCATGAAACTCAGTCGAAGTTTGTTTGGAACTCTGTATTCTGCTATATAGTCGTTTAGTGTCCCGCTGTTGCAGTAATCCAAGACCAGATACATGTCCGAAGACAACACAACTACACCTCGGTAACGTTCTTTGAGAGTAAAGTTCCGTGACTACATTAAAGTATGTTAGGGATACTTGCTTCACTGCAAAGTAACGTCCGCGTCTATTCCTCTTAGCCTTGAACACGGTTCCGAATGCCCCGCTACCAAGCACCATATACAACCTGTAGAATTCCACGGTATCAGGCATCATTTTCACTCGAGTACTGTCTCTCTTCTTGCAAACGGAGTATCTACGCCTGACTGTAACTGTAAGACATTATATGTGCTGCACACTTCCAGGTCATCTTCTATTTAAAACACATCTGGACCTCCCGTTTTGAGATATTGGCGTTTATTTCGACTGATGACGCGAACCAGATACAGTTAGGATTTAAGCCATTCTGCTTTGAAACATGTTCGGGGTTAGACACATGTGTCTTGTCTGTGACCTGATCTGGTGGGTAGCTTAGGTAATAAGGTAACTAGATAGATAGGCAGGTAACTAGATACATGCAGGTAATCAGACAGCTACAATGTGTGACCACGACTGACAATGTCTCTATGACTTTCATGATAAGGAAGACAAATGTGGTGCACAATTGTGAATGTCAGTAAAACCATAGTTCTAATAAAAAAAATAAGTTCGCGTTTTTTTCGTACAAAGTCAATGTACAATGAAAAGTCCACTAATTCCAGACATTTCCTGGAATTTTGATATTAATCAACCAGAGAGTATGAGAGTATGAAATAAATACAGAGAGTATGAAATAAACTGAATGGATAACATCTTCAACTAAAAACCACTTGGCATGAAGACCAAACATGTAGAAATGATGGTACGCTACAATTTATCTACGAGTTGTAATTATCTAAAGTGTATGAAATTTCGACCTTTTTTAATGTGTGAAATATGTGGATGTCTGTTTGCTAGTCTTGATTTGAAAATATTGTATTTTGTGATAATAATGATGCGATTGAGCACGTCATTTATTTTCTCAGGGTATCCAAATAATACAAATGAATTTAAAGAATTCTGAACTTAATTCTCTTATAAATGTTTTATTTGGATTAGAGAGAGATGAGAATAAATGATTCAGTTTAGGTAGTATAAGACTTTTCAATACAGTATTTCTACCTATAGGTGTAAGGGCTCTTGCTGACCATTTCTTCATCGACAGTCGTACTTCTTTCAAATTATCTTTGTAGTTCTAATAAATGGTTCTTCACTTTTTCAACATCCGCTGTTAACCTATTTCAGAAATCTGGAAAGTATTTTTAACCCCACACAAGCACAATTTATACACCCTCATAATTTGAAATCACCGTTTGATTATTCAAGATACCGAAAATGCAACACATATCGTTTCTCAAACACTTAAAGCCAAATCACATTAATAACAATCATAAACGGCGTATAAGAAGAAACACAATGGTCAAACTGATGATAAGGTGGTGTTTTGTGATTAAGTACTCAGGTAAAATAAAAAATACAATGCTTTATTCAAATAATTATACAGTCCGCTTTTCAAACTTTTATTCCAGACATATTAACAGGTCATGGAACTGAAAATGGCAACACTGACATACGATCGATCTGCTCCAACATGGGGACATATGAGGACAGGTTCATGGTAGAACTGTACATAATTTGCATGTAGGGTGCACATGTTCTGCAATGAAGGCTGTATCACCCATTGTATCAAAATTCAGAACTATAGATATGGCCAACAAGGCCATATCTGCACGCCGGGGTATGGCCTACAGGAGAGTCCGAACTCAAAGAGATCAAAGTAATAAACAGATACGGTACAAGTTCCCACTTGAATGGACTGTTTGAGAACAATTTCAAAATGATATTTTCACTGTTTTATCAGTGAACAATGTGCTTGCCCAAAATACTGACGTTATCGTACACACATGCACTGACGTTATCGTACACACATGCACATGGCATGGCAGGTCCAGCGACCCCAGACTGTGGAGATAGACATGCGTACACAGGTACATCAGCCGTCCTGATCGGTATCTTGTACCACATTGCTCCAAAAACATACACAAAGGCGAATTGGATTTACTCGCCTCTATCACCTGATTCACCTCAACAAAATCAACATTCAAAACTGTCTCAATTGTTGTGCTCAGAAATAGCAATGATAGATAGGAAAGTCTCGTTAGTTGTTTATACACTGTGGTTTGCATACCTGTGAAACATGGAAATAATATCAAGATCTTTCGCCGAACTCTGCATATAATCAGAAACAATGCACACTTAAAACATACATTTTGGAACGTTTATTCGTGAAATATGTATGTAATATCAACACACTCAGTAAAACGAAATATTACAACATCACAGTCTCTGAGATACATGTCATCCCAGAGAGGTAAGACAAGACATTAAAATCATCATTCTTCAGAGAATGGAATATGTGTCATGTATATATGTACTGGTCAGGTCTCGAGTCACCCTGAGAAAAATAACGATAGATATGTAATATAGATTTAAGAAAATATGGCAAGGTTTCTAGAATTTCAATTGAAATGACACATAAAGTTACAAAACTATAAATAGCGACACCCAATTGTGTGGATATTCAGTATACATCTAGAGATGAAACAAACACCTTAATACGCAAAATACAAAACAGGTACTGAAAACCTAAAGCTTTGACGAGTTTTCGAATATCACAACGATAGTTAAGCAAGATATTTGACTCTGCACCTGAGAAAACAGCATGAGAAATGGTCTTGACACCAACTACGGAAGCTGGGCGCTGGAAGGGACACGTCATGAGAAACGTAGTCTCATTGAAACATTAGGGGATATGTGTTACATCCTTCCCCACGTGAGTATATACTACAGTAAATATGATGTGTATGTAATGATGGAATGTGGACACTTGGTCATTACATCAAAACATCTAAATACAAAACCTAAGCTTGTTAGAAACATAATAAAGGCCTGTTAGTCATATAATACAATAAGTCATTCTAAACACGTTAAAATACAACAATATTCCGACGTTAACATTACCTTACTGATCTCTAACCCAAAGCTGACCAAATTCTGTGAGGAAATTGGAAAATATGATAACATGCTAGTTTAAATGACCACAACTTGACTGAAAGGAATCCTTAAGGTGAAAGCAATGGTTCGAAGACGTAATGTAATTGATGACATTATACGACTTAATATCATCATACAGAACGTCATCACTAGAGATATACTTACTTGATACTTCAACTGACCAAACATATAGTATCGCTTAAAATATGGCTTGTATTGGATTTAGCAGTACTTACAATATACTGTCCATTGTTTTCACTTCGAGAAGATATTGTAAACAGCAATACAGACATGTTCTACTAGTACATCAACATATATTGCAGTACGTGGAAATTGCATTGTAAATTCATTTAATAAATGTAAGGCAAGTGTTTTTATGCATATATTCGACCTATGAAAGGTTTTGTTAAAATAACACAAGTCAATATCACCGGTAACACTTCATCTTGAAAGGGAAACATATAAAGTGAGTGAGTGAATGAATGGGTTCAGCCTAATGCTGCCTTTCGCAATATTCCAGCAATATCAAGCGGGGGACACGAGAAATGGGCTTCACACATTGCATCCATGCGGGAATCGAACCCGGATCTTTGGCGTGACGAGCGAACGCTTTAACCCAGTAGGCTGCAACACCGCCCCCATATGTATAGAGAATCGATTGTCTGTGATTATGATTATCCAACAAAACTGTCCTTGTGTCGGTCCTGCACTCACAGTACGTAAGCTGGTGATTCTCGTCCATACTTGCAAACGAGGCAAACAATGCCGATCACGACAAAGCCAAGGACGCCGAAGGTAATGCCAACGATGAGGCCAACTGGCATTGAATATGGAGTTACTGAAAATACAAACTTATTACAGGACAAATGCATAACAGGTCAAATCGTATAAACAAAGTACAGTATTATTTAGATGAAATAAACAATAAGGCGTGATGTATGTTTATTCCCAGTATGCATATAAACAAACCAGTATGAATTACCGTGGTCTTATTTGTTGTTGTTGTTGTTTTGTGGAAATTAACGCGTTCAGGTAAGAACAATCGCATATTCATAATAGAACCTTTTGTCATAGATCAATATTCAGTTTAGCGGTAAAAATCAAAAGAAGAAAATTTGCAAAATTCAGTTTTGATCTAAATAAAACCTTATTATTCACTTTACCTTCCCGGTCAGACTTATATTTGATCCGATATCCTTTGCCGCCGATATTTGCGTCAGAGATAAACATTACCAACACTTGACCGCCAGTCGACTTGACCTTCAACAACGATTTGCCACAGGATCGGCCCAGACTTGGGTCATTAGGACTTGGGCCTGAATAACATATGGTAAAACAGCATGAAGATACACAATCTTATTTTTTCAAAGAATACAAATGTAAAATCAACGGTCTATATTACAAGCCTTGGTGTGTTATATTGAGGAACATAAGTTGAGCAGGTTCAATACTGACTGTACAGGCACAAACAACTGACAATAGAATCCACAAATACCTTTCCATAATTATCCGAACTGTATGTAAAATCCATCCCTGCCATATCATAAGAACGACTTTAAAATTTGTGTTTATGACTCTCTATCAAACAGTTATGATATCAGATTCTCGAAAGGGTGCGTACACTGCCCAGCCGGTGTGACGATTGACAAATACTAGTAATGTAATTATGGCGCCAAAACCCTTTCCACATCCATAAGAAATACTGAATGCTGATTCAGCAGTATTACAGCTTGGTGATTGTGATGTTGTTTGTAAAGGCACCTTATGTGTTTACTAACTTTATTCTAGATTCGGAAATAGTTTCTATGAATATGTACTAGAAAGATTAGAAACGTTTATGGAGAAATGTTTGTGACATGGAGTTAGTGATTAATTTCCTACAATAGATCACCCTTTAAAGAACTTTCGAACGAAAGGAAGAATGGAAATGTTTTCAAATTTTACAGTCACGTTGACAGCACTAATAAGTGGTTTGGGGAGATTTCTGACATATGACATGTTACCTACACCATGATCTTTTCTCGAGCAATAATAAACGCAAACACGTGAACTTTAGATTCTTTTAGACCTTGTCTTTTAGGCCTTGTCTTTGGATGCGGTTTCTGTGACAGGAAAGTGCCTATTCCCACTTTATCCACTCTAAATGACATGATTCTTGAAAACAGGAACATATTACGGCCCCCTGTCTAGCAGGTTAACTAAAAGTCATGAAATTATTAGATCCTTCTGGACATTCAATCAACATTGTACCACTTTCCCAAGTGCACAGTTCTTATGTTAAAGGTTATGATGCCCAAGTTTCAGTTTTATTGCACACTAATTCTGTGGAATAGGCACATGACATTCCTTGTAAAACTGCCCATTTGGGCGATTAATAACAGTTGAGCCTCGATACCACTACCTTCAAGAAGTTTCTGAAAAAGTGGGAAACAACAGATAACACCAGCAGAAGCATAATGACCCTAATGAGCCAATGGTTCATAAAGGCTAAAACTACTGTCGGCGGACAATGCCCGGTAGCCGCTTCTTGGAATCTTCTAAGCGTGAAATCGCACCATCAAAGAGCTCCACGTAGTCTCTGGTGCAGTCTGTGTCCTCGGGGTGGGGCGTGTCCATGTCAATGACCTCCAGACGGAGGAAGGAGCCGTTCAGGATAGCCGTCACTAGGGTGGAACAGTTCATCATGCTGACGGAGAGAATATTCCACTTTTTAGCTCCATGAAATAATGGTATTTGAGCATTTGATTCTATGGTACCTCTGCACTAACTACACTTCCACCTGTTCACTGAACATTAACTAGCAGGTCAGTTTGGACCAGATAACAGAGGTGAGGTGAAATTGGGTTTAACGTCGTGCTTGAGAATATTTCGCTCATATGACGACGTGCATGCGTGTGTATGTGTATGTGCGGCTGCTTGTACTAGCCCAGACTTAAGCTGTTTTTTATAGTGCTAGCCCACTGAGATACCATGCCACAGTGAAGCATAAATACCTCACTCAGACGCAGTATACTGACTCCGAGCCGACCAGTCCTTGTTGTACCCATTAATGCCGAGTGCCAGGCAGAGACCAACACGTACCATGATTTTAACGTCTTTTGGTATAATGCGGTCGGGGATCGAACCCGCGACCTTCCGCTCTCCGGGCGGACGCTCTAACCACTACACTACGGAGGCGGTCACCAGATGGTAGAAAGTGAGTGATTGAGTTTAGTTTAACGCCGCACTCAGCAATATTCCACCTGCATGGCGGCAATCTGTAAATAATCGAGTCTGGACCAGACAATCCAGTCATCAACAGCATGAGCATCGATCTGCGCAATTGGGAACCGATGACATGTGTCAACCAAGTCAGCGAGCCTGACCACCCAAACCCGTTAGTCGCCTCTTACGACAAGCATGGGTTTCTGAAGATCAATTCTAACCCGGATCTTCACGGGTGATTATAGAAAGGAAATACAGAATGTTTGCGATAACAATAACATAAAAACGTATGGTATGGATTTACAACTTCTTCTTTTTTACAACAAGACGTTTCAGGGCTACTTCTTGCCATTGCTAGGTCATTGTTCACCTTGCGAAAGGGCAAGAAGTAGCCCTGAAACGTCGTGTTGTAAATAAACAAGAAGGTGTAAATCCATACCATACGTTGTAATGTTACCTTCCAACTTCTAAATGACATGATTCTTGAAAACAGGAACATATTACGGCCCCCTGTCTAGCAAGTTAACTAAACGTCTTGACATTATTAGATCCTTCTGGACATTCAATCAACATTGTACCACTTTCCCAAGTGCACAGTTCTTATGTTAAAGGTTATGATGCCCAAGCATCAGTTTTATTGCAAACTAGTTCTGTGGAATAGGCAAATGACATTCCTTGTAGAACTGGCCATTTGTACGATTAATAACAGTAACATATTTAGCCTTAATACCACTACCTTCAACATGTTTCTGAAAGAGTGGGAAACAACAGATAACACCAGCAGAAGCATAATGACCTTAATGATAGGATAGCCTGAAGTAGCCCTGAAACGTCGTGTTGTAAATAATAAAGAAGATGTAAATCCATACGTTGTTATGTTATCTTCCAACTTCTAAATGACAACCAAGCATCTGATTATAACAATAGTTACTCCTGTACTGCTATCCAAGTACTAGATTATGCTTGTTCATAGTATACATGACACTGTCTTGAGTCAACAATGAACGATGAGTTCTGGAATGTCAGCTGAACAAACATTACTGACCTATTGACTGTTATATTACAGAATATATATTGACTGTTATATTACAGAACCTTCTGCGAGTTGCACTTGAGTATTAAGGTGTGTTGTAGAAAACAGTCGAAACAGTCCAGGTCAAGATGATATTGACCTCTGATACAGGTCAAGGACTCTGCCAAATTATGCTTTGAAGTAGCTTGATCAAATTGTTTGTTTCACAACACGTGACGATCCGGGTTAGAGTTGGTCTTCAGCAGCCCATGCTTGTCGTAAAGGGCGACTAACGGGATTAGGGTGGTCCGGTTCGCTGTCTTGGTTGACATACAGACCCGTGCTAAAAGTATTCGGACACTTGACGTAATTTCCATAGACTACATGTTATTTCAGTGTAGCATAAATAATTTTCATGAAGTGAGTTTAGGATGGATCTTTGTCAAATTTGACAGGCAAATTTGAAATCATCTCTGCTCTGCGCACATAATTTCAGTTCAATTTTCCGACCACTATTTACTAATGACATCGCATTTATCAACTTACGTATGGTTCCCCAATGCACAATCCCATAGGACGCCATGTTAAAGGAGTTCACGGCACTATACACATGTTGATTAAATTGCTGCCATTCGATAAATTAGCAACGGAAACTTAAACAGAACCTATGTGATTGTAGGTAAGAGGATTCCTCACAAATGTGCCAAATTTGATCTTACAAAAATTAAATTCAAGAGAATTATTTATGATACACTAAATTAGCATGTACGTCTATGGAAGTTACGTCAAGTGTCCGTATACCTTTTGCATGACTCTGTATGTCATCGTATCCTAGCTGCGTAGATCAATGCTCATGCTGTTGATCACTGGATTGTCTGGTCAGACTCTAGTATTTACAGACTGCCGCCATGCAGGTGGAATATTGCCGAGTGCGGCGTTAAATATCATTAAGCCAAACCATATTCGCCACACAACTGTCACCATCTGCAAACACTCATTACTCCATTACTCACTAGAGTGGTGGGGTAGCCTAGTGATTAAAGCGTTCCCTCCGAAGACCCGGGTTCGATTCCCCATATGGGTACAATGTGTGTAGCCCATTTCTGGTGTCCCCCGCCGTGATATTGCTGGAATATTGCTAAAAGCGGCGTAAAACTAAACTCACTCACTGACCATTACTCACTTGGGGTAGATGTCTGGATACAAAGGCGATACTACGTCAGTGGAGTCGATGGAAACGGCAGTTTTCACGTCCACATCACCCTGGCAACCATCTGACAAAATCATTAATGGGTGTGAATAGGAAACATTTGTTTGTGGGGACATGTCTTACAATTACAGACTCTTGTCTTCGTTCTGTCACATCACGGCCTATCTCGTGCGTAGGAAAGCCACTATAAAATGTAGATTTATGGATGTTTACCCCTGAACTGAAACCCAAGGGTATGGTATGGTAGAAACAACCCTAGGGTAATATTTTAAATTAAAATATTAAATGCATAGGTTAGAGTACCTCCAGAAGACATTCTTAAGTTCTCTACCACCCGAAATAAGGTTAAGTACTCTACCACTCGAACTAAGGCCGCTAAGCACTCTACCACCCGAAATAAGGATGTCAAGTACTCTACCACCCAAAATAAGGTTGTTAAGTACTCTACCACCCAAAGTAAGGCTGTTATTTACTCAACCACCCGAAATATGTTTGTTAAGTACCCAAACGCCCGAAATAAGGCTGTTAAATATTCTACCATCAGAAGTAAGGCTGTTAAGTACTACCACCCGCGATAAGGTTGTTAAGTACTCTACCACCCGAAATAAGGTTGTTAAGTACTCTACCACCCGAAATAAGGTTAAGCACTCTACCACCCGAAATAAGGTTGTTAAGTACTCTACCACCCGAAATAAGGTTGTTAAGTACTCTACCGCCCCAAATAAGTTTGTTAAGCACTCTACCGCCCCAAATTAGTTTGTTAAGCACTCTACCACATGAAATAAGGTTGTTAAGTACTCTACTACCCCATATAAGGTTGTTAAGTACTCTACCACCCAAAATATGGTTAAGTCCACTACTACCCCAAATAAGGTTAAGTACTCTATCACCCCAAATAAGGCTGTTAAGTACTCTACTACCCGAAATAAGGCTGTTAAGTACTCTACTACCCCAAATAAGGTTGTTAAGTACTCTACCACCCCAAATATGGTTAAGTACTCTACTACCCCAAATAAGGCTGTTAAGTACTCTACTCCCCAAATAAGGTTGTTAAGTACTCTACCGCCCGAAATAAGGTTGTTAAGCACTCTACCACCCGAAGTAAGGTTGTTAAGTACTCTACCACGGTACCACCCGAAATAAGGTTGTTAAGTACAATACTGATTTTAATTCAGCGATATAAATGCCTAAGTAATGGCAAGATGTTATGTAACAATATGTTTTCAAAATATGAAAAATTCTTCTTTAATGGGAATCCTATGGCAATAGTAAATGCATATAAATATTTGGGGTTAATGATAACGCCTAAATTGATATGGACTAGAGCCTGTAAAACATTAGCGGAGCAGGCAAGTAAAGCATTATGGCCTATAAAATCATTGATCAGACGTTTTGAATTTACAGTAAAAGATGCCTTCTTTTTCTTTGATAAAAAGATTACTCCAATTCTTACATACGGGGCTGAAATTTGGGGTTTGGGAAGAAAGGAGTAATATTGAAATTATTCATAGGAAGTTTTGTAAATTTGTTCTCCATATTAGTTATAAATCGTCGAATGCTGTATCATACGGGGAGTGTGGAAGATATCCACTATATGTTTCCTATCATATTAAATGTATTAAGTATTGGCTACGATTGTTAAGAATGCAACGTCAAAGATATGCGTTCCAATGTTACAATATGCTGTTGTCCATTCTTGAGAGAAAAAGGCCGAGTTGGGCCAATCAAGTAAAATATTTACTTTTTCGTTATGGCTATGGTTTTGTTTGGATAAGCCAAGAGGTTGGGGATCCAGATCATTTCATTTATATCTTTAGTCAACGTGTTAAAGAATGTGCTTATCAGAACTGGCACTATTCTCTTCAGAGTGATTCTCTCGCATTTTATCATTCTCATAAGTCTTTGCTTAATTGTGAAAAATATTTGTTAAACATTAGTTCCCATGAGCATAGACGTGTATTAACTTTATTTAGAAGTGGATATCTGAGTAAGAAAAATGTCTTTAGTAATAACTCCTACATTTGTAAACACTGTAATGTAATGCTGAATGAAAAACATGTACTGTATCATTGTGTATATTTTGTAACAGAGAGAAAGCGTTTCATCCCAAATTGTAGTAGTGGTAACCATAATAATGTTTCAAACCTGTGCCAATCAAATAATAACATCTTTCTGTTAAATCTTGCTAAATTTCTTAAACATGTGTTTGAATGTATAAAACTAAAGAACGTAACTCTGTAGAATCTTATGTTATATTGTACATTTGTACTTTGGGTCATATGGCCTTTCTACAAATACAAATCTTGAATCTTGAATCTTGAATATGTTTTCAATGGAGCTCTCAACTCATTTCAGATTCATTTGTCAAAAATCATTTGGTGACGTATCATCAGTTGTGACCCACTTACCAAAGCTTCCATATCGTGGTCGAATATATTCAGCTTTAAACCCTCGTCTAGCCAGGTTGCTGTCTGTCTTGAAGACCACAGAGAGTTCTCTATCCCGACTGACGTATTTACCCGTTTCGTTGCCACATATCTTCGAGAACTCATCAGATGATGTATTACCTGGGAAATGAATTTTCAAGACTGTTTAACATACATATTTGTCAAGCAGCACCAATCACATAGCACCAATCACAGCCGTTTACATAACCATGGCTATGTCTTATATATAAAGTATCTCGATATCATATAATATTTTCTCAGTCACAAGGTGTTTTTTATAGTGTTACTGCTCAGGGTGATATGTACTAGTTCCAAGTCGAACGTACCAAACAGCATACCTAAACAAATTAGACTTAACACTGCAAATAGCATACCTATTAGACTTAACACAGCAAATAATATAAACATGCTGAATTTCCCAACGACCAATTGATTTCCGTATTTAATACATTTTGATCGAACTGATTTTCACCTCATCTATTTTATGTTCAGTGCATTGGTGTATTCTTAACCATCTTCTCTGTCCAACATCCGAGCCTTCTGAGGTTAAGAGCCTTCTGAGTAGGGAAATACACAACCCATTATTGATGATCTTGTATTTCCAATTACCTATTACCGTGACACATAACATAGCTCCTAGCAGAAAAAAGAGCAGTTTGCAGAGTGTAGCTTCAGGCTCTTCTTTCAGGTTTAACCTTGTCCGATTGTGTATGACCTCATCAGATACAACGGCCGGTGCCGTGTGCAAGAGGTTTCAGCTGTTTCATTCTTCACGTGTTAGACAAACTTCAATCAGTTTTTGCTGCTGTAAAAGTGTATGGTGGTGGTGTCGTCATTGTCACACCTACCTGGATAGACCATAATGTAATTGTTGTTACAGCCACTTGCGTCTCCGACATCAACTTCAACGAATGACATCAGCACTTGGTAGTTGGAGAAGTCGGAACGCACTGTCCAGGTGGCGTTCATGTCTCTGAAGAAAACGACCGCCATGTTGATTTTGTATATATTTAAAACGATGTCATACATTTCTGAAAGTTATATTCCGTAACTTAAGACAAAGATGTCCCAAATATATACACTTCTGGAAACTAAACAACATGCTAACGCTACAGAATCTTGAACGTACGGACCAGCTTTCAAAACTGGCACGTTCAATAGAACAATGTCAAACGTTTCGATGACATAAGAATCAGTGTGCACGGAATCCAAAACGCAACTTGTTCAACATTTATGAGCTATGTCCAAGCGATAAAGTTTTAAAAATGAAACAATTATTATTTTTAACAACTATTGATAACATCCTCTTCAGCCAAGCTCTAGCAGCTTCTGTCTGCACTAGCTTTGACCCACAAGAGTTACATCCCCTTACTTCACTTCTCCATCTGGGAACCTTGGTGATAATATGGTGGATGTGCCACTCCGAGTTTCAACCAACCGATGCACAGGTGGTGTATCTGAAAACAAAACATATTAATCCACATTCTTAAAGATATCATTTGTAGACGGCAGTTTATAACTGCTTTGTTCACTTGAATGTTTAGCTGAAACAAGTTACAACGGCAATGTGTTGATAACAAAGTGGCGTGTCTCCGATACAGAGAAAATGTAGGAGACAATTTACTCGTAGCAATCACAATGTTTTGTTGAAATATTAGGGAACAATCCTAATACAATGGCATTTATGAATATTTCAAGGTATTTACATACAGTTTTTAAGTTTTGGAGAAACAAACATTAATTATGTTGTTACTTAGGGAGCAACCATGTATTTTTCAGGAGAGAATAGTTTGAGATCAGCATTATATAATGTTCAGAAGTTTAAGTGAAGTTTAAGTAAATACAAATAACGAAGACTTAGTGTATTCTTTGGACATTCAGATATATGTATTCTTCTGTACAGGATAGTAAAACAGGCGCTTGAGATCAGCAAACACTATGCCATAATGTTCAGAAGTTTCCCACCCAGATACACTATACCAAGTTTAAGTAATATCCAGGCAAGGTTATCATCTTAACGGCATTTGTATGACTTCAGAGTACCTTCCACTTCCCAGAGTGACACATTCAGATACCGGACATGGTAGGATCCCTTCTGACCAACTGGAAGTGATTTTACAGTTAAGAACAGGCGCTTTATGAATTACTTGACATGTTCAGGTGGAATTACCCATGCCATTAGATTTAATACGATTATCCCACCCAGATACACTATATAAGAGTCCTAATTCAATATCCAGGCAAGGTTATCATCTTATGACGGCATTTGTATGACGCCCTCAGAGGATCGACCTTCTAGTGAGGTGGTCATAACACTCTAGATGTCTTGCTTTGTCCATGGTTTCTTTAAGTGAGATTTATATTCAGAACGAATTTGGTCATTCTTGAACTTGCATTCTAAAAAGGTGTAGGCCTGATCTCCTCCCTACGTCTCCATACGTGTCCCTTGTATCTTGCCCGAACCATCCTTCATTACCATGCCATGTTTCAAATAAAGAGTACTCCATTTGTCGAGTCCAAATATCATACCAATAACATCGAAAACAGGATTCGACAAGGCGAACCTCTTCTTTCAAATTGGCGTCTCATTTGGCAAGGAACTCGATGTCAGCAATGGGAAGGAGTAAGCGATGCTGGAGATGGTACGCCCCCTCTTCATTGGGCAGAGAGGTGATGGGATTTAAAGACAAACAAAACATCAAAGGACTAAACGAGCCCCCCGTGTCATAATCGTTATTCTTATTATTGTGTTTGGTCAATGGTGTTTGTAATATAAGGATGCCTTACCCAGCGTTTCTTCATATCCATACACAAAGCCAGCGTTGTTACTCAACGTGTACTGTCCTAGGTCGTCAGTTGTGAACACCAGGGTCAGCGACGACTCTTGACTGGAGAAGGTGGGCTTGGCACCACCGACCACTCGACCCATTAAATAACCGGAAGTGGAGTTACCTGACGCAAATAAAGTAACTTAGGCTATACATTAATGATTACTTTAGAACGTTGTGACATTAAACTGGCTGTTTCAAAAATGACAAAAGGCGACACATTTATCAGGACATTCAGGAATTAATGTAATCACTTTCCTCGAGGTAGGCCCTCTCCAAACAGACCTTACCAAACGCTTTTGCCAGAGAAACATTTTCAGTCTTTAAATGGTGAGTGAGTTAAGTTTCACGCCACACTCAGTAATATTCCAGCTATATGACGTCGGTCTGTAAATAATCGAGTCTGGCCCAGACAATCCAGTGATCAACAGCATGAGCATCGATCTACGCAATTGGGATACAATGACATGTGTCAATCAATTCAGCGAGCCTCACCACCCGATCCCGTTAGCTGCTTCTTACGACTGCTGAAGATCAATTCTAACCCGGATCTACACGTGTTGAGAGAGAAGAAGTGAATCTTCGAAACTAACAAGGTTTTCAAAGAACAAAAATAAATAATTGGTGTCCAATTGATATAACTTCACATACCATCATATACCGTCACAGTATCTTTCTTGAATAATGCGTAAAGCTCTCCTTCTAAAAAGGAGACTACGACGTGTCCTTGAGGATTCTCGGATGTAATGGTCCAGACACATCTGAAGGAGCTGAAACATAGCAAACAGGTTACTAATGTTTTCTTGTAAATAGACTCACCCTAAAACTAGTAAGTAAGAGTCTGTCACCTTCGGAAAATGGACAACTTTGAGAAACGCGTAGTGATCAAACACTTTGCACACAAAGTGCTTCACACAAAACCCCTAGGGAGTCTTCCTACTGATGCCCCTGCAGAATTGGTCAGCTGATGGCGAGGGCCTTGAAGAGGTGTTGATGTGTAAAGTAGATATCGTATCTTACAAAATCAATCACCGTTTATTCTTCGGCAATATTTTACATTATTATGTCCAACGTTGTGTGGTGACTGTGGTAGCAAATCCATTTCTTACCCAAGGCTTCACTGAACAGTTAATTTTACACTAATTACCTATCCACGGATTACATGTTTCAAACAGTCGAAGGCATGACTGATGGTTGAATAGGCATTTACACATTTAACAACATTTCTGTAATTTTTCAATTACAAAAATATTCCAAACGTTCTATCGTCCCTCTGAAAAATATAGTGTCAGCGAAAATTCGTGACAAAATGAAACTCGCATCAGAAAATGAAATTATAAAACGACTGGTGAATATTTACCTGTCACGATGTCACGATGAGGTGAAATTTGGTTTAACGTCGTGCTTGAGAATATTTCGCTCATATGACGACGTGCATGCGTGTGTATGTGTATGTGCGGCTGCTTGTACTAGCCCAGACTGAAGCTGGTTTTGTAGTGCTAGCTCACTGAGATACCATGCCGCAGTGAAGCATGAATACCTCACCCAGACGCAGTATACTGACTCCGAGCCGACCAGTCCTTGTTGTACCCATTAATGCCGAGCGCCAGGCAGGGCCCAACAAGTACCATATTTTAACGTCTGTTGGTATGACGCGGTCGGGGATCGAACCCGCGACCTTCCGCTCTCCGGGCGGACGCTCTAACCACTACACCACGGAGGCGGTCTCTAGTCACATTGACTGACTGCCACTGTGAAAGCAGGCTGAATACGCCGGTAGAGGGCTTTGTGTGGGTGGGAGTTAGAACAGACCATGAAATAGGAACAGATCACTACAGTATATTCACATGTGTGCAGTTACTCTTACTTGGGGTAGTTGGCAGGGTACCCTGGCGATGTGACATTCTGCCTGGTAGAGTTGGCAACAAGGTTTCCCCCGCAGGGTTCAGCCGCTGGGAAGATAACATTTCACAACTTCAGCTGATGACATGCTGGGCTGATAAAATATGTTTTGTTGTAAAAAGGTAAAATACGCTGACACTTCAGTATGAAGTGTCGTAATGACTAATTTAACAGACAGCTCATTCTAAGGCAAACACAGGTTGAGGATGTTGAATAGACCTACGTACAAAGCTGGTGTCTGATAAAGGGAATGACCTCGCCCCCCTAAAAGTTATGTACAATATTAGTCTCTCTCTCACTCACTCACTCACTCACTCACACACACACACACACACACACACACACACACACACACACACACACACACACACACACGCTTTTTTATGTCATGTACAAAATCAATTCCCCCCGTAATTTTTAAGCATACTGTTTTAATATACTAAGTACTAGAATGCTGACACCCCCACCCCACTCCCCAGACCAAAATTGAACATCTCCCCTCCCACCTCCCCAGAGCCTGACACCTTTCAGCAGTGGTATTATTTAATGTAACTCCTAGTGAATTGAAACATCATTTGCGGGCCTCTTAAGAGTTAGAATGAGTCATAAAGAGCATGTATTTGTGTTGGGTCTGTGAGAAAGAAAAGCAAAAAAGAAACAAAATTAAAGTTTGTAATACCTGTGGTGTAGTAATATTTCAGCTTAAAGCCTGATTTTGTGGTATTTTCTTGCAGCGATTTGAACTCAACCAGTGCTTCAGGCCCATACACATAGAATGATGCAGGTGCCTCGCATGCCGTTCCAACAAGCTGCTTCCTCAACGTTGTCTCTGAAACACAAGGTGCTTGACAATGTGAACAATCATTTTTACAATAATAATTAGAAGTCGAATTACCAAAATAGGAAACAAACAAACATGATTATACCCACACTGATTGGCGACAAATTAGTACATTAAAACAGAAATACAAGTATTACCCATATAGTATGACTTCCCGGCATTAAATGCATTCAGCTATTCCAAATACCGATCTGTTCGTGACAGGCCGTGAAACCCTTTCATATTTTAAGATAATACGATATAGTGAGTGAGTTGGTTTTACGCCGCATTTAGCAATATTCCAACAATATCACGGCGGGGGACACCAGAAATGGGCTTCACACAATGTGCCCATGTGAAGAATCGAACCCGGCCTTCGGCGTGACGAGCGAACGCTTTAACCACTAGACTGTGTTCGTGATTATGAGTGAATTCGGTGGCTAGTGCACTTCTGTGGGATCAGTTTTGTTTCATGAAGGAATAGAATACACTTTCTCAAATAAAACCTGGGCCCAACTCATCATTTAGCTGTTACTTTTGAAATATTCTAAATAATGATAAAATACCGGTTGTGAATACGTAATTGCCTGTTATCATGTTTTGGGGTTTGAATAGCTTTCCGTCGATTGGACACTATACCATTTCAATTGTACCTCTGAATGTCATGTCATGTATTTATGACCAAACACACTCATTGTAGTCCAATGCCAGCAGATAACAGTCTGCACCACAGGTCCTTGTGTCTTTGCTTTCAGTTCATAATCGACGAACAGCATATATATTTACGTGGCCTACCGTCATATACCCTGACGCCATCTGTCGAACATCTTTGTGTATCCAGGTCAATTTCTAAGACATCTACACGGATTGCACCCTTCCCGATGTTGAGGTTTCTATTTTCCATCGACATTCCTGGTAACTGTGAATGAACGAATGAATGAACACACTATGTTGAAGGGCCCTATATATTCCTTGACGTAAACCTGGTATGAATTAAGAAATAACTAATGATGATACTGGTTATTACATTAATCAATTATTAAGTAAACCATTTGCCTCAAAAGATATCAAGTAACACAAGTATTATCTATTATCCATACATTCAGATGAATTAACAAGGGAGATAATTCAATGACTATACAACTTTCTCATGAAGTGGACTCTAACACTGTCCTCAAGTAGTTGATCAATACTTTGTTACGTTATTATAATGATTGCAGCATTTCGGTGTTTATACCAACACAGTCAATAAGCAGTCACTCGTTCGATAGCGATGTTGTATCTCCAAGGAAAGGTCTTTCTTTGTAATACAGAAGTTGTACGATTCACCGAGTTACCTCGCTTCTTCAGTCTCTGAGAGCACATAATGTTGAAACAGTTTGATTGTCATTAGCGTCCATTTCAAAACACGAATGTTAAACTTTAGAGATATACAAGACAGGAGATATGTGCCGTGTCATTTGATGATTTACTGGGGTTAACTGGAAAGATATGAATGCACGTGTAGGACCAGCATGATGTACAGGTGAGGGGTGAGGCGGTACCTTGGGAAGGGATTTGGGTATCCCGGTGTCATGAGAAACTGCTCCTCTGCTGCTGCGGTAAGATTATCACCCCGGCAAGTAGGCCCTTAACAGAAACCACAATAAACATAACAACCAAATCTTCCATACGTGTATAGGTTTCAAGCAATATATGCCTTCAAAATTAATTTAATAGAAAACAACCAAGTTGATTGAATAAGTCATGAGGTGCGTGAATAGTTTCACATTGCTGTCAGCTATATTGTAGATGAAGCACAGTCGTGGGTGATCATGCATTGGGATACGGTGATCAAGTCAGCGACCCTGGCCTAGAAGACATGTACTGCTGAAGACGGGTTCTAACTCAGATCTTCCCTAGCAGAGGTGAGGTGAAATTGGGTTTTACGTCGTGCTTGAGAATATTTCGCTCATATGACGACGTGCATGCGTGTGTATGTGTATGTGCGGCTGCTTGTACTAGCCCAGACTGAAGCTGGTTTTATAGTGCTAGCCCACTGAGATACCATGCCGCAGTGAAGCATGAATACCCCACTCAGACACATTATACTGACTCTGAGCCGACCAGTCCTTGTTGTTCCCAATAATGCCGAGTGCCAGGCAGGGCCCAACAAGTACCATATTTTAACGTCTGTTGGTATGACGCGGTCGGGGATCGAACCCGTGACCTTCCGCTCTCCGGGCGACGTTCTAACCACTACACCACGGAGGCGGTCTCTTCCCTAGGGATAAAGAGGTTTATAAAACATAAACATAAAACATTCTATTCATTCCACGTTTTACAAATATGCTTGGTCTTTTACTACTATGCAATTACATCCTGTACATAGTACATACTAAATTTGATACAAGTCTATCAACGCCACATGGTCGCCCAGCAAATACTGAACTTACAAGATGTCACCGGTCATAATTGCATTAAACAAAAGTCAATTTCATTGAAACCAAAACTGAACAAATTACCTCTTATCGGGAATTTTAAGATAAAGTAGACCAAATATGACATGATGCTGATGTGTGAATAAAACGAAATGCATGTGTTTGTATTCTGTAACTCATGTATCCCACAGATATTTCGTAACATTAATAGAATAGACGAGAAATTAATGTTTATATGACAAATTGTTATATCAGCACAGGCACATTCAGAGGACACATGAGGCGAGGTGAAAACCTGGCAACAGTCCGCGTGTCAAACTGTTTCAATGGCCTTCTCTCATTATAGTAAAAGTTCTGTTACATAAATTTAGGGTTTTCGTTAAAACTATAACTGGACAACAAACAACAATTGTAATGTATGAAACACGTATTCCAAGACTGAGAAGACACAATCAATCCTAGACAAAGCTGAAATGCATAGATCTCCTGTACAAGTACCAGTAAACCAACCCTGTAACCTACAGATACAGATATATTACACATAAACCACGGAGACACAATCCGATGGGAATGACACGATTGAGTGCACCATAAGAATACGAAACGAGTTTAAGAATGTGTGTAAATTGATTTATCCGTAATTAATGAATCCATGCTGACAGGAATTTGCGTCTTCTGGAGTGAATTAACTAATTAATTCTGAAATGCTAAAATTTAGATATTCACACGTACACAATAATGGAGACCCTGAGACTTTCTTCTCGAACGTATTTTCGATGTCATCATCAGCTTCGTATGCTTTTTGTGAACCATATTGATAATGCGCAATGTGAACAGACAGTGATGTCAGAGTGCCGAGCCAATTTGTACTTAGAGGCTTACAGAAAGTACGTGATCTGGATTACCAGTTGTCGTACTACCATTTTTGTGGATGTTTCGATGGTTGGGTGGAATAGGTCGCAAATTCTGTCTGCTGACGATTAGGTGCCTCACTGTGAGGGAATGGTTTCGGGTTCGTAGCTGCAATCCCATTGGAGATTGTCATCAATATCTTTATAGCATATACGACCAAGATGCATAAATTGTACCGATGTCTTAAACAAACACATATTGTAAAGTCCGAACCTTCGATAGCTCTGTACTGAACACGGACACTCCGCTCCGGGGATATCCGCAGTTCCATTTTAGTCGTCTCCCCCCAACTTTGATAGATACCGTCTCTCCCTGGACACCATGTAACCTCCTCCTTCCCAGCTCCTGCAGGGCAACATGGCAAAGACGTACGTGCAATGTATTTAGTTAGTACAGTAAACTACGTTCATTACCTATGTTCTCACTCTGAGCCTGGATAGGGTTAAGAACAACTGTAGCATATGGTGCTTTAAACCTATATTCTCACTCTGAGCCTGGGTAGGGTTAATAACAGCTGTAGCATATGGTACTTTAAACCTATATTTTCACTCTGAGCCTTGATAGGGTTAAGAACTCCTGTAGCATATGGTGCTTTAAACCTATGTTCTCACTCTGAGCCTGTAAAGGGTTAAGAACAGCTGTAGCATATGGTACTTTAAACCTGTATTTTCACTCTGAGCCTTGATAGGGTTAAGAACAGCTGTAGGATATGGTGCTTTAAACCTATATTCTCACTCTGAGCCTGGATAGGGTTAAGAACAGCTGTAGCATATGGTGCTTTAAACCTATATTCTCACTCTGAGCCTGGGTAGGGTTAAGAACAGCTGTAGCATATGGTGCTTTAAACCTATATTCTCACTCTGAGCCTGGATAGGGTTAAGAACAGCTGTAGCATATGGTGCTTTAAACCTATATTCTCACTCTGAGCCTTGATAGGGTTAAGAACAGTTGTAGCATATGGTGCTTTAAACCTATATTCTCACTCTGAGCCTTGATAGGGTTAAGAACAGCTGTAGCATATGGTGCTTTAAACCTATATTCTCACTCTGAGCCTGGATAGGGTTAAGAACAGCTGTAGCATATGGTGCTTTTAAACCTATATTCTCACTCTGAGCCTGGATAGGGTTAAGAACAGCTGTAGGATATGGTATTTTAAACCTATGTTCTCACTCTGAGCCTGGATAGGTTTAAGAACAGCTGTAGCATATGGTATTTTAAACCTATATTCTCACTCTGAGCCTGGATAGGGTTAAGAACACCTGTAGCATTCCCAGTAGCTACTTTCCTAGGTCAACATGGAATTGTCAAGTAGTGAAAATGCTTACCATTTGTAAATCTGATTTGAACGTCTCGACAACTGGTGCTGACACTGCCTGCTGTTTCTACTGAAAGACGAACTCGCTGATCTTTCGGTGCGCTCACACGCCATAGACTCGAAACTACGCTGAAGGAGTACAAAATATACTGACAAACTCGATCACATCTTTCATTCTCATTCATGTGGTTCGCTGAGTTCGATGCTTGACAGCGGAACCGATTTAACCAAGTATCCAGAGAATGAAGGTGAAAAAGGATTAGTTACCTCCCATTGTGACATGTGTTTACAATTCAATTTTTATACATAAGCGGTAAATTTGCAAACAAATAACAGTTGAGGAAGTTATTCACTCTGAATAGTTCTTTCTGATAACATTGTCGAGGACACATTGAATGAGTTTATGGGCACTAGATATCATCTTTATGCCATGTGATGAAAGCTTGACATGCCTCCTGGTCAACGGTCCAATATTTGCCCAATCATGGACACGAGATGTTATAAATGAACGTTTTTTCTGCCATGCAAAAAGAGCACATGGAGTTTTGACGAAGGTTGTAGGCAGAATTTAAACTCACTATTCAACCTGACACGGACCGGATGTTTAAGGTTTGAGGCTTCGTGACACAAGACGTACACCTGGCATTAAGCATCATGACAAATATATACTGATTAGATTAGATTTCCACACAAATGTTCTTTGTAATCGAAACTCTCGTACAAATCAGTTCCCTAGACGCATCCAGAAACAAGCCTCACTAGATGGACGTCTTGCAATTATTGCTTTGCCTTCATTCCGCTGCTTCTGATTTGTTGGGGGCATTCAACAGATTGTGGTGTGTATGATGTAATATACCCTGGATAACAAACTGGTAAAAGATCTGAACACGCTCAGCTGTTGAACAATAACCTAAATATAAATGCGTCAAAATCATGGCATGAGGAACCAGCCAAGGTTTGTATGTTTTATCTGAACCTGTGAATATCAAGTGAATCCTTCATCTATTCACTAGCATCATTGAATTACTTACTCTGAGATGCCGTCTGGGTACCCATAAGAAAAGATGCTATACTCTGCTGTTGAGACTGCCGTCACGTAGGGTCCATAATAGCTGTCTATATCTGTAAATGAAGGCAAAAGTGGAAGTCAATAAATATGTCAATGGCGGGATGTTAGAAAGGATATTGTAGTGTGGGTTTTAATTTATACCTTATGTTCAGTTGGGCGAAAGGTGTTTGGGGCGGGAGGAGGGGTGGAGAGTGGTTTCCGATTATTAACCAGTATTTGAGTTTTTGTCATCAGCGCCACATGACACGTTCAAAAACAGAAGAGGCCGGTGTCCTACTCCATGAAACATCCTGCGTCTTCCTGGAGTAGTTTAAGATACTGAAATGCTTATCATGACGCCAAGCTTGAGGTGGACTACAATAAATAATCACTCACTCTACATATTATAAATCTATCCACAAAACACACAGGAACAGACAGGGAAAACTGTTCACCTGGTCACTATAAGCACCACTGTGAACATATAATTCCCCTTTAACAATCTCCATCCAGCAACCATACGGGCACAGTATACTATCAGAACAAGTGACTTTATATGCATTCATACTGCACACGATAATGATGCACCAACCTCTTTTCCGATAGCGCAGTTCAAAGGCGTCTGTGTCCGTCACTTCAGACGCAGGGTAGCGTATAGTGATGACGTTGCCGGAACTTTGGAAGTTGTTGGTGTAGTTGCCACAAACCAAACCGAGTATGGCGCCGGATACGTCTACGAAGACGAAGCATCAATATGGAGACATAACTCTCGAACCCTCCTTGAACATGTATCTGGTTACTGAAGGACGTGGTTAGTTTATTGAAATATGTGAACTGAACAACAAAGATAGTATACTACTATACAACAATACAACTGTGTAAATACAATGTACCCATAAAACAATGTTTGCCTTTAACCCTAAAAAGCTGCAGGTCCTAAGGACCCAGAACCATAAAAGGTTGTGGGTCCTGATCAGAATGTGTAGGCCCTATATTTTAGCTACAATATAAGTAATTCCAGGCAAACAGGGCCATGAAGCCCTGCAGAAATCAGAAGCAGTGGATCCGAGTGGTGTTCAGTCGGCTTCGGGTCTAAGGACCGGGGTTGATTTCGAACGCTGCCACAAAGACATTTTGGATGGCATGAATCAACTTGGAATGAGTGAGCGTAGCTGTTACTTTAAACTGGTGTGTGACATAAAGGACGTCACATGAGGAGTGAATATTGGTAACGGAACCAGGCCGATACAAACAAGTTCCAAGGTCTGGGCATGCGTCAAACAATACGATGCGACGTCACGGACTAACATGTTCGAGGCTATGGCCCATTCTATCCGAAACGTTTGTTATGCACTGGAATCGGAATTTCTGCTCGAATTGTCTGTGTTAAAACGTGATAATTTTGCCAAGAACTTTGCTCTTTCTCCCTACATATCAAAGCGCTCCTACAAACGTTGTTTGATCAAGGTTACACGTTCAATATCTGAGTACAGCTTCAAAATGTTTCTGTGGTAGACATATGGATGATATTGACACATCAGTGACAAAATTTATGTCCTGTGCAGTTCCCAGGTTTGACGAGTATCATATGTATCCACGTTTTCTTCAGGTGAATGATTGACTTGCCTTTGTGTGTGTTTATGCCGGGCAGAATACGCTCACCCTCTCGCCAATACTTGGTATCATCACGACTGAGTGATTCAAAAATACATGGTCGCAATACGGTTGGAATCGTGTTATCGTCGCTGCTTTTAGCAGATACTACTATATGAATACGGATAGGGTTCTGTCGCTTTGTATTGTTAGTAACATTCGTCGTGGACAACCTTTACATTCTGCAGTTCCAACCGACTGTGTGCATTATTTAAATGTCTGTGGGTGGTGACAATAACCTCATCATTTTTGCGTTTTGATGGCCTGATTGTATTTATCATTTGCTTACTCTACTTGGCAACACACGCGTGAAACAATCCTGCTTGTATATTTTCTGTACGCATTTTGATGCTGAATGTTTAGGCACATTCAACGTAGATTATGTTCTTGTCTGTAAATTTATCCACTATATGCAGGGTTCCCCATCAGTCGTTATCCGATCCTTTATTTTAACCCATAACTATAGATGATGCATTGACCTGGAATTAATAAAATATTTCGCTCCGTCATATAGCTGGAATATTGCTAAGTTCCCCGTGACTCTACATGCAATACTTTACTTCATAGCTATATGCTGTAATTCATAAATACTTCGCCCCCATATATATAGGGAAAATTGCTACATATCTGTACTACGTACCACCATCATGCACGACGATGCTGTTACTGACGTCACATAACGGGTGCTGCGTTAAGTTGACATTCACGAAATCCAGTAATATAGGACCTGGAGATCCTGTAGTGTTTATTGTCCATGTACACGTCCCGCTGCTGAAATATAGGTCGAGCTTACCATGGTATCAGTTACACAAATATATATATAACCTATATAGCAGTGGGGTAGGAGAGCTTGTCACATCTTCCTGTCATGTGACAGGCATGGGTTCAATACAGGAGTACAATACGTAAACCCATATTGTTCCCCGTTTTCAGGCTACTAGAACTGATCTAAAGACCGTGTAAAATAACTCACTTCATGTTGAGATGCACATATGCGATCAGGTATATGCATAAACGATCAAGGTGTATGAAATATTATGAATAATACACACGACTTTACTTGAGGCATTTACATTCATCGGTGTTCCTCCGCGTAATGTGAAGCTTGATGACATTATAGCTGAATAACTATATTATCATTACTAATGTCCTTTTTCTTACCCTCCGACTACTGGCATCTGACTCTTTCTTGTTGTGTCTACTTCGAGGGAGAGGTCGCATGACTGGGCTGAAAAATATTAGGCTGTGCAGAAAAGGGTTTCTCTCTCACACGTTTCTCAAAATGGAGGAGGTAGAACCAGGGATACTCTACAACAGCCCCCTTATAGAGTCTCCCTGGTAGAACCTTTATAAACCTGTCCCTCACCACTTTTGTTTCTATATTTCTACTAAGTGTAACAAAACAATCACAATTGGGCACACCCTGAACTCCTCTTTTATACAAACAGGTAACAGGTGCCTGCTTCATGTAAGAACATTGACATATTTCCCCCCTTCGTGCATTAAAACGAATAAAGATTATACGGCTGCCATCATCATCATCATCGTTAGCAGGGTGATGAGATGTCGAAGATCAATATCATTGTCATCAAACATGTATATCATTGCATCACTGAGTACATGTAGATGCGCCATTTCCACGACTCAATTTTGCCTTGGACTGATCTTAAATACTGTCAATGATAGGACAATGTACGGCACTCCCTGAATAATCTAATGTGGGTGTTTTTATCACTTATGTTTCTAGAGGCTCCAAGTGATACATCCGACACGGCCCAATGATCTCGGGACATGTTGCTATTTATAGACACGGATATCTCGTCAACAGTAATGCAATCAAACAAGCCAAACACTTGCATTCATTGAATACATTTGCAGAAAACAGAATGATAAGAGAATCGCGTCTGAAATCCATGTTATAGAACTACAAGAGAAACATTTCAATAATGACATGGTTTCTGTGACAACTGGTGGTTCCAGGCCGACACATGTTGTTGTATTGTACATAATTACGTTTACACACTCAAGGACACATTGATACCTGCCTACAGGTGTGTATGAAAGATATTTAACAGATACATGCCAGCAACATCGACAACAATGTACGTTTATTCCAAAGTGAGACGCGTTTTTATTTACGAATAGGACCTGATCGTCACGAATGTAGGTATCCCGCCTGTTTAAGCATGCCGATCGATATCCGTTCTTCCATCTACCTGTACAATAAACTCACCTGTAACAGTTGTCGTTGTGATAAGCAGAAATAACGCCAGGTTCACATACCCCTTCATCATATAAACAATGATAGTGACTGATGGTACAGCCGATAAGGAGGAATGTTAGGTTGAATACAGCAGTCTCTTTCAATTGCCGTGACGACCTCGGTCAGTGCATACGAACTGAGGACGGTATATCGTATTTCCTCTACGGTACGACAACACACACTCAGCAAACACGGCCCCGTTCTGCTCTGGTTGCCATTGTCGAGTAAGCTTTTGAAGTCGAACAACTAAACCTGCATACGTTATACTCTGAATAGGGTACAAGATGGGTTTCATTTTAGATTCATAAGCCACGCCAGTAAACCTCTCCCTCGCGCGCTGGAGTCTGCTTTAAACAGCTATTACCAATGATTATGGAAACATTTTTATTTTTTATTCCTATGAAGAAATAGAGACCTGGGTGCCGTTGTACAAAGCGACCTTAGCACTACAGTGACCGTACTCCCATACCTTAACATAGACTTAAGGTAGTCTTAGAGCTAAGGTTGTTTTGTACAACGGTACCCTGTTCTCTAATATACACTCTGTGGGAGTATATCTGATAGCATACGGTAACCGCAACACAAATCGATAGGTACAGCTCTCATATACCTCACGTTCAACTGTCACGTTGTACTATTGAGTATTTTATGTGTTTCGTAGGGTTTCAGTGAAACACATATCAATAATGTATCAAACTTGCGTCACTGAGAATTGACACAATACGTGTGGACATCACCACATTAAGCAGCGGACCGACTGGGATAACAACTGATGGAAGCCACTGGTACTGACTGAGTATGGTTTTAGACCGCTTAAAGCAATATTCCAGCAATATCACCACGGAGGACACCTGAAACAGGCTTCACACATTGTAACCATGTGGGGAATCGAACCCAGGTCTTCCGCGAGCGAACGCTTTAACCACCGCCCCAAGCCACTGTTAACAGCGGTTTACCACTTTGGTGAGGAGGGAAAGTACTGTCACAAGGAGTGTGATTATTTGAACTCACAACCAGGGTATCCTTGAAAGGCTTAGGAATACAATGCATCTCAATACAAAATATCAAACTGAACTTCATAATAATTTCATAACATCTTTTATTAAAACTTTCCCTGACACTCTCTGCAAATCATAGTTATTTTTCATCATTCACCTATAACAAGAATGTCAGAGCACATTAAGACTTCACCAGTCCAAACCTCAGCAACATGTTTCATAAATAACAAACAAAAGATCAATCTGTATGCATGTATTTTAAACCTTGTACAAGGCCAGCCATTTAGTTTCACAGAAACCATCACAAACAGGTAGGAATATTCCATTGTACACAAGACACTGTAGTTGGTAATTGAACCCGCTGAACACAGAGGTTTCACCTTCATGCTAGGATGCACCATTGTGCATGTGAAAACACACCAAATATGTTCATGCATGTTCTTCATCAGGGCTAGAAAAAATAACACAGCCTTGATTTGACATACATATATTTCAAAAGACAACATATCCACTGTTAAATGTTTTTCTCCACACTAACCCCAAGATATTCAGAGACATATGAAAACATACTTTTCAAAACATGCCTTGATCACAAAACCAGACATCAATTTCCATACAGCAATAAATACTTTGTCAAAGGTGAGTTGTTAACATATTTACAAAACTGATGAATACTGTTACCAGATCCAGGTCCTGGCCATGTATTTGTGGCTGCAGATCATCCTTAGTTTCTACAGACACGAATATCTCATAGTAGCCCTCATGAAAATACATGTGGAGTTTGAATACTCATACATTGCCTAACCTGTAGACTAAGGCTTAGTCTCTGAATATATATAATTTTGATAGTAACAAACAAGCCCATTTAAATTGAAAAGGGGCCCTAGGGAGACCAGAGATTCAGAACCTGGAGAAATCTAGACTTGCTTTGTTTAGGGCTTTAGCACTACAGGGAAGGCTAGGCTGTAGGGAAAATAATGTGGTTCAGGGACTGTGAGACAGACTACCTAACCTGTTACAAAACCTGCCTGTGTCTAGTCACTTTCATCTTAATTATAGTTTCAGTGAGGGAGTGGGTGAGAGTTTAGTTTTACCCCGCACTCAGCAATATTCCAGCTATATGGCGATAGTTTCAATGACAATTTTTACCGGTCTGTTCTTGTCCTCTTCCTTTTGCATCTACAATGACCTAGCTTGAAGTAAAAGAATAGCTTAATTTCTTCAAACATTAAACAACTTAACAGTGGGTGCGAATTATATACAAGAACATATGGCAACAACCACAGGGTTACACAAACAGTGATCAGGTATTATCATTGTTTATATTTAAAATGTGATATCATTTTAACGTATTTCCTTTCTGTTGATAAAATAGATATGTAAAATAAACAAAATTCTTATGGCCTAAACACCCACCTAATGTAAAGCCCTTTTAGTTCTCAGAGAACTTGTCATGTTCCCTGGTGACACTTGAAAACAACATACAGAGTCATGCCCTCGGCTGAATGCAAACTCGAGTGATTATTTCAAGTCCAATCTCATAATAATCTCCAAAATCAAGGCATCACTTCACCACATGGTAAAAATGTACACAGATGATTGTATGACAATTTGACTGATATTGAAGTGTTGGATACCAAATGATCCAGTCAGATGCAGGCCTCTGCCTCAGTTGTACAATACTGGTGGTATTGCATGAGGCAACACGTTTTTATGTTTTTATTTATGGAAATGAAACCACAGCCAGATAGAACATTAATTATTTATTTTAAAAACGTTTTCTACGGCTGATTTGAAAATAGAAAATACCACAACAAAAAATTCAAACAAAAAGGTAATGCTTCACTTTTTAATTGTAAAAGGTCAAACTCATTTTATATTGTCTCTGGTCACAGCAAACCTCTTAAAATGAGAAGAAGCCATCCAAAAAATATGTACATACTTGATTCTGTAAATATGGAAACTTTCATCCCTTTACACACCATCGGCACTTAACCTGTGGTCCATCACACATGCTGATTTCCTATGACTCTCTTGCCCTACCTCAACATGTACAACAGTCATTCCTCTTGAGCACTAATTTTCCACGTCAAAAATACCTAATTAAGAAAACACTAAAAAATGAAAAAACAAACACTAAATCTGTATATCTTTATAATTTATTTGCCTGCACTGACAGCATGGAAAGGGAGGTCACTGCAATCATGTGTGGGAGTAACAGTGGAGCTGGAGTGAGTCAAGGTGTGCAACTAAGCCCTGGGGTATTTCAGCTACTGCGTTGTGTTAATAGCATGTACTGGAGAAGTATCTTCCCTAGGTGATACAGGTCAATTCCATTTTGGAATTGTCTTTTTTGTTACTTGGTTCATGGAACTGCTGACCCTCAACTCATGAATTTGGAGAAAAAATACTTCCATTTCAAAGCCATCTCTTTAAAAGCTGAGGCTGGGATTGTAAATGAAAACAAATAGAAGGGTTTCTCTTCTTGACTGACACTGTTGCACACTCAATGCCCAGTTGCTGTTTGTCCAATACAATTTATAGTACAATACAATAGTAAATTGGCTGAATGATATTCATGTTGCATTATATAACGTCACAAGAACAAACCAGGCAAATAGAATACATTTCATTCTCATTCCACTCCTCTATATTCTTACAAAAAAAGAAACACAAATGATTGAAATCAATGAACCAAGCAACGAAAAAACTGAAGGCCTCGCTATGCCTCTATTTTTCAAAATTCTTCCTGTATATCAAAGAGGCAAAATTCATATTTTCAAGCATTCTCAAGTTTTCTCAAGTAAGTTAGATATCTTGATTTATGACACCACTGAATTTCTGTGACTGTTGAGCTGGACCATAAACATACTGTAACCATCGTTTTTAGAATGCAAACAACAAAGTCATAGAAAACCAATATGATTTCAATTTTTCATCTTGAACATGCTCTAGAACAAATTACATTCCCATAAAACTGGAATCAGTTCCCATCCTGACACTAGTAAATTGACATAGCATGAAGTAATCAGCAATCATAAATTCAAACCACCTCAGCTCCAGAAAATCAGAGAATAAATATAAAACAGTATGCAAAACACTACAATCTGTGCAATACAATCATTGATCAGAAAAAGATGAAAGTATATTTTATGCAACAAAATAAAGAGTAGAGAATCTGACTCACAATATTATAAACAACATAATAATCATAGCACTTGTCATGTCACAGAGTAGGTCAAATACTGCATGTCTATTTCATTATCAGAAGTACGATCAAATTAGGAGACAAAATTTATAATTTGATAATATTTTTATTATCAACCACATCTGCTTGTTGTTATGTTTGACATTGACACGCTCGGGAAGATAATTTCATTTTGTTACTGAAATAAATACAATTTCATAATCAGCACAATCTCAATCTTAGCACCACATCATAACAAAACACAGACTATGTGGAAACAGCTTCCCAATCCAACATTAATAAATACAGACATTGTTCAGGATGCCTGCTCAAAACGGTCATAATTCTGACAAATTTATGCATGTCTCACCTTGTGTAAATTCCCTTACCAAAAGGCTAATCTAAACTCTGATACTATGCTAATAGGAATGTAGAATCTGGTCTGGGTTTTGCCTGGGAATGAGTTTGATCTGCATGGGGCTGAGAAATGTGAGCACCAGTTGTTTCAAAATACCAACTAGCTACTCTCACCACTAGCTACAGATGTCACTGATGGTCATACTGTGGGTTTTCAGATGTATTGAAACTCTGAACAAGGTCAAAGAGAATACAAAACCAAAGTCAATACTTCACAGGTTTGTGTACACGACCTTCCACCGCCACTGATATACACATACAGCCATAATGCAGTGTAATCACGGTGGTACTAGCATCCCTGTCTGGAGTCACGTAACAAAATGAAGATATGTTTTCAGGACCAAACATTTGATATATATATATAAGGTGGTGGGAGGAGGAGCGGGTAACTTATCCAAAAGATAAAATTGTTGGAAGGTGATTTTTTGCCAAAATATATCTACAAATTCACTGATGTGTTTCCATCGACATTTAATTCAGGCATCAGGCATTGCCAATGGTATCTTAATGGATATTGTTTACAGCAGTTATACATAAATCTCAGTGAACAATCATGTTTCGACCTAATTATTTGTCACTTCTCATTCTAAGTGATCAAACGTGTCAGTCATGGTGTCCAGTTCGGTATTAGTATCTCATATCCGTGGTGTACTGACAAACCCAACAGTGTAAAAGCATGTGTAAATGCCAGTTTAAAATCAGGTGTCCTTCAAGATGTCCAGCTTGGTATTAGTATCCAATTTCTGCAAGGTACTGACAAACTGAACATTGTCAAGAATGTGTCAATACCAGTTTATAATCAGTAGTCCATCAAAGTGTATAGCCAGGTATCGATATCCATAAGGTATTGATGTACCAATATAATGACATAAAATCAGGTGTCCACCAATGTGTCATGTCTGGTATTTCTACCAGTTTCCCTTCAGGTGTCCAGTTAGGTGTCAATACCAGTTTCAAATCAGGTGTCAATCAAGGTGTCCAGTCTGGTGTCAACACCAGTTTTCCTTCAGGTGTCCATTCTTATAACACTGCATTTTTCCAATCAGGAGTCAAATGAATTGATATGATCTGTGATTACACCAGGTGTCCAGCCTGGTGTCCAGACTTCCCACAAGGAGATCTGTCAGGAACATACGCCATCTGACAGTACTGTGAATCCAGGTGCATCTGCTGCCAGTCTAAGTGAGGGTTGTACTATCTGGTCAGCTTCTTGATCATCTTCATTGTCTTCTGCATCATTGGCGCCACTCTCCTCATCGCTGAAACAACAACAACTTAGTCATATTCCTGGCGGCTAATTACCAGTTAAATACCCAACTCTACGGGGATTTACATGGAGTCCTGTACTTGAGAGTCCCTGGGACCCATACTCTTAATTTCAAGGGTCCTAGACAACAAAATTGGGGTCCCAGACACTTAGGTATTATTATTAATACTGTTATTGTATTGTGTATCATGATCATCACATTGTTACAGTAATTAAATTGTAAATAATACCATAACCAAGCTAGTAGCAAACTCAGTGATAACTTATTTTCACTTGACTGGAATTTTTACAAAAGGTATTTGGACTTTTTTCTGCGTCCCTATGGACACGCTAATAAATTTTGTAGCATCCATTGTCAATTTTTATGCGTATAGGACGCAGGAATTCGAGTCTTGTAAATCCCTGACCTCTATGTCCACCCACAGAGTATAAATAAGTCCTTGGGATTTTTCAAACAGCACACTTGGGATTACATTTAAGTGAATATTGTCAGGATTTTTCCTAAAAATTTCGAGGCCACTCAAAGATTATGGGTGAGGTGAGGTGAGGTGAGGTGAGGTGAGGTGAGGGATCATAAAGGGTAAAACTGTAATGCAGCATTATAAACTGTTCTTATCCTATTGAATCCTTCAAACGAACACTCTAAGGACTCACGTTTTGGAGGGGGGATGGGCCGAGTAGCCGCAGGAGTTTTAGAGCGGGACCAGCACATATCAACGTTGCCCTTGTTTGGAGCCTTGGAGATGGTGGCAGTCCCATACTTCTGCTGCATGCGCTTGACCTCCCGGGGCGGCTTCGCCACCACGCTGTCCACATATGCCAGCTTCACCTTCTTGGCTGGAACATACCACATGGTATAGTCTTGTAGAAGTAGTTGATCACTGATTAGTGACCACAAGCTATCCACTGGTTATTGCCTTCATTTGTATAATGTACAGAGTGAAAACAAACAGAGCCAACACAGAGGGTTCTCCTGGCTTTCTTGTAAAATGGAACACAATCCCTTAGCAACGTGTGCAACGTGTAACGCTGATGGCTGCAAGGCTGAAGCACACAGCGCATGAGAATTACTGTTATGTATGTGATGTATTCTGATCACTGGTCTGAGTACCCACTGCAAGCTGCAACATGGCTTGTTTCTGTGGTTAATATAGCAACTATACTACAAATTCACCATACAGTAGAATACTTTTATAATAAACACGGATATAACGAACTGATGGCTATAACCAGGGATTTACATGGAGTCTTGTATTTGAGGGTCCCTGGGACTCATACTCTTAATTTTCAGGGGTTCTGGACAACAAAATGGGGGGTCCCAGATACTTAGATATTATTATTAATACTGTTATTGTATTGTGTATCATGATCATCACATTGTTAAAGTAATTGAATTGCAAATATTACCATAACCCAGCTAATAGCAAACTCACTGATAACTTATTGTCACTTGATTGGAATTTTTACAAACAGTATTTGGACTTTTTCTGAGTCCCTGTGGATGCGCCAATACATTTTGTTGCGTCCATTGTCAATTTTTATGCGTATAAGACGCAGGAATTCGCATCCTGTAAATCCCTGTATAACGAACTGTTTTAAAAGTCCTGAATAAACCTTATATTATCATATAAAAAAGTGAATAGCAAACTACGGATATAACGAACTAATTTCAGTGGTCCCTTGGATTTCGTTATAAAGGTATTTTACTGTATTTGTTTGTTGTTTAATGCTATACTCAGCAATATTCCAGTCTGTAAATGATCAAATTCAGACAATCCAGTGATTCTCAATTATGAGCATGAATCTGCACTTGATCTTGGGATACACTGACATGCATCAGTTAGGTCAGCAAGCCTGACCACCTGATCCTGTTAGTCGTCTCTCACAACAAGCACGAGTTGCTGAAGATGTGACAATATGTATTCACCCATGATTGAAGAACATAGCGTATACAAAACTGTCTACTGTCTGGATATAAGGATATATTTTTTTAAATAGCAACTATTTAACACAAGATGTTGATAAATGTATGTGCTTTTATACACATTTATACACCTAATACAAGAGTTGTCTCCCTTGAAATGCCAACCTGTTGTGTCCAGGTTCTTGACAGTTTTCGACATGCGTCCCTTCAGTCTCTCGTACTTGGCTTCCCTTTCATCAAGCAGGCGCTGTAAGCAAAACAACAGGGACTCAGTCACAAGAGAGTCCTCAGAGGGGTAGCTGTGTTAAATGCTGGATATTTGTAATTGTGCTGTTTGCTTCATTAATATTATAGTGCAAGAACGGGATGTATTTTGATTTTGAGCAACACTATATTCTGAAATTCGGAGCTATAATGTTAAAAGGCCCTGTGAAAGGTATTTCACTTAGGGCCTTGAATGTCAGAAAAATATTTATGCTGAAAGTACCCTGAAACCAAACCACATGATACTGACAGGTCTGGGCATATCAGGGATCGGGACCAACAATCAGCTGATCCAAGCATGGTCAAGTGGCCAGTTCTACTCACAGAGATGCAGTGACTTAGATGACCCAGGTATTCGTAACCCTGTTGACAAATAGTTTAAATATGGCCATATACATTTTCCCTTTTCCGAGGGATTTTGACTGTTGACCAAGACAGAATGCTTCAGATGATTAATCATCATTACAAGTCAGATTTTCAAATTGATCATATTTTATAGGACTCAAAAAAAGGCCAAGAATGTTACTCTTTTATAACCTATTGATTGAAATCAAACTTTATGATGATACAAAATCATGTACTATTGACTTTTTTCCTTCCTACTGTCAAAATTGATCATTGCAAAATTTCATGTACCTGCCCCCAAAAGACACCTGCAAAAGTAAACGAATATACAGTGCACCCTTGTTATACTGCCCCTGGTCATAATGCCATCCTGGATATAATGCCATGTTTTTGCCAGAACGGTTTCCTGCCAATATAATACCCTGGTTATTGGAACCCTGGTTTTTGGAACAAAAAGTCATTTTCCCCTGGTTATAATGTCAATTACATTGGTTGCATGTAGTATACTAGTACTTACCTTAATTGGTTAATTGACATGACTCAAATTAATTGATTAAACTCATTAAGGCTGTAAGTAGTCATGTAATCCCAGATAGGATAGCAATACACTTCCTGCCACCTACAACACGTCACTTGCAGTCCCAAGACACTGGGATTATCCAGTCATTCAAGGCTCATTACAGGAGACATCAGCTCGATCACCTTGTTTACTCCTCAGGTCCTCTAACTGGCCTACCTGATTATAATGCCACCCTGGATATAATGCCATATTTTGTCCTGGACCAACAGTGGCACTATAACCAGGGTATACTGTCGGTATGGTGCTGATAAACCAATGACTTTTGTCTGGCATGTGCATCCAGTATCATAGGATCCTGGTGTATCAACATGTAACACTGTGCCACTCCCTCTACAACGCCACTTACCAAGTACATCTCTCGCCAAGTCTCCATCTCCTCCGGCTCCTGCTTCCGGAAGTCTCTCTCACAGTGCCGGTGCCAGAGTTCATCTGTGTCCTCGAGGAAGTGCTGAATCAGACATACCAGTACTTTACCATCAAACATAACAGTAATTCACCATCAAACATAGAAGCAGTTCACCTTAAGACACACAAGTAGTTCTAAGGACAATTCAAGGTGCTAAATATAGGTCTTAAAACTATTAAAATCAAGTGATTGCCACTAATATGGCAATGTTCCCTGCTGCTAAAGAAGAATGAAATATTTATAACACAGTTACTACTTTTTATATTTGGGTCACATACAAGAAATGACTGGTGTCTGCAAAATCACCCAATGTAGGCTGTTGACATAATTGAGGTGAGGTGAGGTGAAATTGGGTTTAACGTCGTGCTTGAGAATATTTCGCTCATATGACGACGTGCATGCGTGTCTATGTGCGGCTGCTTGTACTAGCCCAGACTTAAGTTGGTTTTATAGTGCTAGCCCACTGAGATACCACACCGCAGTGAAGCATGAATACCCCACTCAGACACATTATACTGACTCTGAGCCGACCAGTCCTTGTTGTACCCATTAATGTTGACATAATTGAAGACATTGGGTGCAATGTTATATGAGATATCGCGTTTACATAAGCTTGAAAAGTGATCAAAGTGTCGTGGTGACCTTGAACATAAGGTCAAGGTCACCAAAATCAACTGGTGTCTGCGTAATCCCCCCCAATGTAACCTGTCACCACATTTGAAGACAATGGGTACAATAGTACATGAGATATTGGTCAAAGTGTCGTGGTGACCTTGAAAATAACGTCAAGGTCAACTAGATCGACTGGTGCCTGCATAATCCCCTAATGTAGGCTGTCACTAAATTTGAAGACATTGGGTACAACAGTACATGAGATATCATGTTAACAAGAATCAGGACGTATATACGGACAGACAGACGCTGCTGAATACATGGTCCCCCGTTCCGCATTGCAGCGGGGGGACAATAAATCAAATAACAGACAAAATAAATATACGCAAAATATAAGGAGGAATTATAAATGGGTAGAGACATTTTCGGTCAGAAACGTGCACTTCAATGGTCATATTAGTTTCATAGGCCACTATTACAACCATATCTTTTGTCAAAAGCATCGTATGTTTTAGCAGATCACAAAAAACAAATGGGTGAGTGAATAGTCTTCTCACACTCAGCAATATTTTAACTACAACTCGACATCCAAGAATAACTAAATCTGGGCCTCCATAACCATTTTGGCTGACAACCAGTAACCTATTCTGCCCTAGAATAGCCTCAGAACAAAGGCATGGAACTCACAGGGTTACAATCCTCCAGGTTGTACAGCTGTGTGGCAGTGCATCTCTTCAGGACCGGCATCAAGATGTCAGCAGGGATACCACCCACATAGTCAATAGCTGAAACAACAGAGTAGGTTACAATGGCTGGGGGAGGTGGGGTAGCCTAATAGATAAAGCATCCACTCGTCACGCTGAAGACTTGGTTCGATTCCGCACATGGGTACAAGTGTGAAGCCCATTTCTTTTGTCCCCCGCCATGGTATTGCTGGAATACTGCTAAAAGTTGCATAAAACCATATTCATTCACTACAATGGCTGGACCCATTGTTATATCAGGTAACACCATGTAAGCCTCACCAAATACTTCATATGTAAAGGGGCCGGTGGGGTAGCTTAGTGGTTAAAGCGTTGGCTCGTCACGCCGAAGACCCGGGTTCGAATCCCCACATGGGTACAATGAGTGAAGCCCATTTCTGGTGTCCCCCGCCGTGATATTGCTGGAATATTGCTAAAAGCGGCGTAAAACCAAACTCAGTCAGTCAGTCATATGTAAAGACAGCTGGTCAAGTGGTGTGAATGAATGAGTAAGTGAGCTGAGTTTTACACTTCTTTATGAATTTTGTATATTCCAGCAATATCACAGCAGGGAACACCAGAAATGTGTTCACACGGTATATTCATGTGATGAATCGAACCACACATTGGAGTGACAAGGGAACACTTTACCAACGAAGACAAGGAGATCTATGACATTACTGGATCCAGTCCTGTAAAGGACAGATAACTACTACATGAATAAGTACTGATTCATCATTTACTAAATGTATTTTCATCCAAATAATCCTTGTCTCAAGTGATAACGTCAGGGGTGGAAATAACTTTAAAATTGATAGTGTACTCCGGTACAGTGGCACATGTAAAGTCACTTGCCCTGATAATTTGTCCACTATTCCAACCGTTTTCTTGCTGATTTTCTAAATAAACAACATAATTAACATTGGAAAGTCAACTGAACACCGGTACAGTGTGATATACAAATTTGCTTGCCCAACAGAAAAAAACACTGGACTTATTTCCACCCCTGAACGTGGATATCATAAGCTAGGTATGACACTCTTAATCTTATGGATGACAACTTCTATTACATTATGATGCAACGTTTTGGTATAGATTCTTATACCGTTTTATAGCAAGAGTCGTCAAGCAAGTCACTCTTGAGTCAAAAACTATGCATCATAATATAATAAAGAAGCTGTCAACCATAAAGTACCATATCTTTCTTATTATTCATCAACTTCTAAAATGCCAATCAAACAGATCAATGTGGATATCAACTCCACATGTTAATAGGTACACATCATAAGTTGGACTTGTTAGATATTGCACATTTTGGTCAGAACTGATAGGAAATCTGACTGAGGAAACGTAAAACACCTCTTAAAGTAAAACTATTGCAATGCTATTTAAGTGAACTTGCTTGGCACGCATGATCTGATCAACTTCTGACTTCAACAACCTCAACATTCTCCATTGAATCATTACCATAGCACATGTGACTTTTGATGAAAATATAGTTTCTTAGATATTAATAGCTGCTATTTAACATTTAAATGTTATATCACTTTAATAGCAGCCTTACAAATATCACACAGAGAACCATCCACATTTGACAAACACCCTCCTGACCATACTTACAGTCAATGTTATCTATAAGAACTTGCATACAGATGTCAAAGAGAGGCTTCATTGCTGAAAAGATAAGAAAAAACATCAGTAATGGACACAGAAGATTTATGACATGACGAAGTGGTAAATAAGTGGGCGTGGGACAAGCTACAAGTGTTTAATAGTGTGAGTACCATGGTGCCATGATGCACAGTAAAGGGTCTTTGATCCCTATGATAATAAATATATCTTTTCCTTTCTGCTGGCTGCTATTCTTCAAGATCACTACAATGGATGTTGAAACCACTTGCATTTAGCATAAAAGAATGAGTGTAAGAGCTTGTGAGAATGTGTATCGTTGGTTCAACCTGTGAACTTCAGTGCTTCTTGTGACAATGTATGTCATAGCTTCATAGAGTGATCATCAGATCTTGTGTAACATAACTTCATAGGGTGATCACAAGATCTTGTGGCAATGTGTATCATAGCTTCATAGGGAGATCATCAGATCTTGTGACAATGTATGTCATAGCTTCATAGAGTGATCATCAGATCTTGAGACAATGTGTACCATAGCTTCGTAGAGTGATCATCAAATCTCGTGTACCATAGCTTCATAGAGTGATCATCAGATCTTAAGACAATGTGAACCATAGCTTCCTAGAGTGATCATCAGATCTTGAGACGATGTGTATCATAGCTTCATAGAGTGATCATCAGATCTTGAGACGATGTGTACCATAGCTTCAAAGAGTGATCATCAGATCTTGAGACGATGTGTACCATAGCTTCGTAGAGTGATCATCAGACCTTGTGTATCATGACTTCATAGGATGATCATCAGATCTTGTGTACCATAGCTTCATAGAGTGATCATCAGATCTTGAGACGATGTGTACCATAGCTTCATAGAGTGATCATCAGATCTTGTGTATCATGACTTCATAGATTGATCATCAGATCTTGTGTACCATAGCTTCATAGAGTGATCATCAGATCTTGAGACGATGTGTACCATAGCTTCATAGAGTGATCATCAGACCTTGTGTATCATGACTTCATAGGGTGATCATCAGATCTTGAGACAATGTGTATCATAACTTCATAGAGTGATCATCAGATCTTGTGTATCATGACTTCATAGGTTGATCATCAGATCTTGAGACGATGTGTACCATAGCTTCATAGATTGATCATCAGACCTTGTGTATCATGACTTCATAGGTTGATCATCAGATCTTGAGACAATGTGTACCATAGCTTCATAGAGTGATCATCAGACCTTGTGTATCATGACTTCATAGAGTGATCATCAGATCTTAAGACGATGTGTACCATAGCTTCATAGAGTGATCATCACACCTTGAGACGATGTGTACCATAGCTTCATAGAGTGATCATCAGATCTTGTGTATCATAGCTTCATAGAGTGATCATCAGATCTTGAGACAATATGTATCATAGTTCATAGAGTGATCATCAGATCTTGTGTACCATAGCTTCATAGAGTGATCATCAGATCTTGTGTACCATAGCTTCATAGAGTGATCATCAGATCTTGAGACAATGTGTATCATAGTTCATAGTGTGATCATCAGATCTTGTGTATCATAACTTCATAGGGTGATCACCAGATCTTGTGGCAATGTGTATCATAGCTTCATAGAGTGATCATCAGATCGTGTGACAATGTGTATCATTGGTTTAAAGAGTGATCATCAGATTTTGTGACAATGCTTATCACTGCTTCAAAGAGTGAACACCAAGGCTTGTGACAATGATTATCATAGCTTCATAGAGTTAACTTCAGAGCTTGTGACAATGATTATCATAGCTTCATAGAGTGAACCTCAGAGCTTGTGACAATGCATATCATAGGTTGAAAATTTTATCACAGGATTCAGAGCATGCGAACCACCCGTACATCTGACTATCTGGCAAACCTGTCACATCACACTGTCAAATATTGCCTTACTTGTAGTGGTGTGTTTTCTGCCTGAGTACACCTGTGTGCGGGTATTGGACTTGAAGCCAATCTTTGTTGGGTCATGCACTGTAAACATAAAACACACATATCACTAAATATTGTTTGATAAGCTTTACCTGTTCATACCAAGATGCAATTTAAATGCAAAACTATGAGTATCTCCTGTACAAGTGAGACATTTTGACTTGCTATTTCAAAACAAAGAAAATGTATGGTTGAAGAGATTTTATGGAAAAGGGGGTATTGGAAAATAGAATACAGGGCCTCCTTTCACGAAGTAACCTTTACTAAGGTTAACCTTAACTCCCACTCTTTAACATTGCACTAAGGTTAGCTTAGTGACTTACGATCACCTTAGTGCTTTGTGAAAGGAGGCCATGGTGAGATTAGGTTATCACTGCATTCAAGACTTTTATACTTATATAAAAATATGCACTCTTGTGAGTGTGAGATTGCTGATACTTGTCTAAGATACCAATTTACCATGCAACAGTAAAAATAACCACTCAGAGAATATCGCTGTAACAATGCATCGAACTATCGACGGATTGCAATTGTTGAGTCTCCAATAGTAGAAACGAAAAGCTATTGATGCATCGATAGTATATGTGACTATTCGATAGTTTAGTAATTGACTTCTGTTGATAAATGCTCTGCACAAAAATACAGGAAGTACTGAGATTAGTTCACTGCTATCTCATAAACAAACATGGTGGCAAACACAGCATGGGACTAGGAGTTTGAAGTTGAGAATAACAATAAGTTTATGCTTTAACTGTTTACTTGATCTGGGTTTCAAGTTTGACAGTTTTAAAAGAGACTGAAACTACTTCAACTTGTTTTTATTTCATATAAACTATACCGGTACATTGATTTGGGAAATGACTTCAAATAGAAAAAACTACCGTATATTACCGTAGATAAGCCTAATTTTGAGGGAAAAAAAAGCAGTCTCTAGAAGGGGGTCGTCTTATCTATGAGATATAATTTCTTGAAAGTATTTTTCATGTCGTCAGTGCCCTGTCAGGACGATCTTACAGGTTAGCGGTACAGCAGTGGATGTTTACTTAATGATTACAGCCACTTTCTTATACATGATAAATAAAATACATATACAAGTATACATTTTGTGGTTATTTCAAAATATTTTGCCCTTAGTCATTATTAAGTTTAGTACCTACCTATTTACACTCAATAAATCCACAAACAGGAAGTGATAATCCTGTCCGATTCAGCCATTTGCAAAATACATATTAAAGTATACATTTTGTTGTTATTTCAAATATTTTGCCCTTCGTCATTATTAAGTTTAGGTACCTACCTATTTACACACAAAAATCCACAAAACAAGAAGTTATAATCCTGTCCGGTCCCCATTTGCAAAATGACATGTGCCAATCGCGATCAGCCGATCGCTTGATTGCATTCACTTTCTTATAAATGAGCAATAAAATACATATTAAAGTATACAGATTTCGTTCTTTCAAAATATTTGGTCCTTAGTCATTAGATTTTGTAACTACCTATTTACACACAATAAAGCACAAAAACAAGAAGTTATAATCCTGTTCTGACATGTCCCAGTGCGATCAGCTGTTTCCTGTGACGTCACATACAGTGAAGAGGGTGATTGCTTCCTGTTGTTTTGTCATGCCACACAAGCGATACACAAGTACTGATAATAATGGGCCCGATTGCTATTGTTGTGTTGTTTGCACAAACACTTTCAAAGAATGGGAGATTGTCGGAGTAGGGGCTTAATTCCTTTGTTTACCACAAAACAAACATACAGTAATAAGCGTGTGAAACCTCTTGAATAAATGATGTATGTTCAGTGTGTATTATAGTTTATACAGTATGAATGGATTAACGTATTGTTGCGGCTGTAATGTTTGATGAATAAATGATGTATGTTCAGTGTGTTTTATAGTTTATACAGTATGAATGGATTAACGTATTGTTGTGGCGGCAATGTTTGATGTTCTGGAGAAGTTGTATCAAGGAAATTGGTAAAGTAGGTATTGGTATGTAGGTATAAAAGTGTGCATAACTTCTGAAAATGACAGTGACACCGAGTTCGAGGGATTCACAGCCGATCTATATATAAATTACTGTGAATGTTTAATGAATGTACTTATTGTGTAATATAGTGTTTACAAATTAATTTCATCACTGTATTCATTCTGTATTATTGTCGACTTATTGTGTAATATAGTGTTTTGAATGAAAAATGACTTCAGTTTTATTTACATCGTGGGTACGTTTTCTCATGGGTTCATATTTTGCAATAGTATTGCAATAGTTGGTCGCATAATAGTATGTTGCAATAGACTATCGCTATCGCAATAGTTGCTTCCCCCTCAATAGTGACCCATAGAGAAAATACACCGAGTCAGAGCCCGGTCCATTTTTCATCCCCTTAATCATGTCAATGCTGACCACCATGCAGGGCAACAACAAGTACCACGTTTTAACATCTTTTGGTATGATGTAGTCTGTCTCACAGTCCCTGAACCACATAATTTTCCCTACAACCTAGCCTCTCTGCAATGCTAAAGCCCTAAATAAAGCAAGTCTAGATTTCCTCAGAATCTGACTCTCTCGTCTCCCTAGGGCTCCTTTTCAATTTAAATGGGCTTGTTTGTTACTATCAAAATTATATATATTCAGAGACTAATCATTAGTCTAGGTTTGATGCTGCCTAGTGATCGAACCATGACCTTCTGTTCTCTGGACAAACAGTCTATCCACTAGTGTTGGGCCGATAAACTGAAATAATCAAGACTAGTCAGCGATGACCATACCACCAAGCAATCGATCATGTTTTCTCATAATCGAATACAAACAATTTTGGAACACTTGTTTGCATTAACAATATTTTTTCACAAGGTTGGTTTTGTCTGTTACATTTCATGGGCACTACAGGCTCGTTCCAGGTCATAATTGAATTTATCTTAAATATTCCAGGAAATTTATGTTCCTAACATACTAGACATCCTTTAAAAATGTGAAATTTGAAAAAAATGAAAGAATTACATGTCTTTTTTTATTTTTTGTGGAATAACAAACATAAACGGTTGTAATGAACCAATCATCAATTAATAGAAGCAAAACAATTCTACTATCCACTACAGCATGGAGATGGTCATGAAACAGAATGGAGTTATCACAAGGATGAAAGCAGGACACATTCTACAGATGAGATATAGGCATGTTCGACAGTCCCTTACCTTGCTTCTTATCCACCTCGTTGAACCTCCAAGGCCTGTAATGGGCATGAGTCTCGGGGAGGTAGCCCAGAATATCCTGCTCTGTGATCTTCACCTGAACACAACCACGTAAATCACATCCAGATCCTCATCATGTTCATGTTATCATACTGACATTTTCCCATTACATTTTCCAAAACACTGATCATATATGCTAAAGGCAACAGTTGTTTACATTTGTCAATATCCTGAACAGACTGCTCCACACAAATTATAACAAATAGGGCTGGGACGATTCACCGATGCACCGATACATCGCGATACATATAAGTTTGATACAGCTATCGTATTGTTGACTGGTGTATCGATACAAAACAATACACAACTTTTTTTCAAAACAGTATTATCTTAAACATGTTAAAGTACTTATTTAGAGAAAAATATGCAAGTTTTAAAAGTTTACAACCCACATTAAACTAGCTGTCTGTTCGGTAATATTCGACCACTACCAGACATTCAATTTAAATCTTAATACTGTGTCATTCTTTCAAGGTGTATGTATCGTGATGCATATCGTATCGCACGTAAAATATCGCGATACATATCGTATCGTGACAAAGTGTATCGTCCTAGCCCTAATAACAAATCAGTCAGATTTGAAAACTCAACACTTATGAAAGTACAGGATTCAAAAACAGACATCAAAGGATGTAATTTCTAATTCTATATATGAAAACAGAGGAAGCCTCAAATTGATGACCCAAGGACTAAAACCCTTTAGTTTAAATCAATATAGGATCCAGACCATGTGCAAAACATGTTTTGCCATTTTCCTTTTTTTTTAATTACAGATATTTTTTTTTTTGGCTATTTATGTACATGGGCAGCTAATTCCTTGTCAATACCAGAAAACTGACCACTGATAAACATGGTAAACATTGCATTGTTGCTTGTGTCTCACTCATCAATATTACAGCTGTATTATGGCAACATGTTAATATTAGAGTCAAGGCAAGATAAAACAGCAAGACTCACATCTCAAGCTGTCAAGGTATAATGACACACAAACAACCAAATCATAGAGCATGACCACACTGTCCTCAATACCATCAACTCTTGTCACAAGCATGTGGGGTGGTGGGGTAGCCTAGTGGTTAAAGCATTCACTCATCGTGCCGAAGACCCGGGTTCAATTCCCCACATGGGTACAATGTGTGAAGCCCATTTCTGGTGTCCCCCGCCGTGATATTGCTGGAATATTGCTAAAAGCGGCGTAAAACCATACGATAAAGGTCGAGAAAATCATTGGATCAACCTCACTTGAAGTCAATAATTGAATAAAAGGTATGATACTTTATGGTTGACAGCTTCTTTATTATATTATGATGCATAGTTTTTTACTCAAGAGTGAATTGTTTGACGACTCTTGCTATACAACGGTATAAGAATCTATACCAAAACATTTCATCATAATGTAATAGAAGTTGTCATCCATAAGATTAAGAGTGTCATACCTTTCTTATGATATCCATGTTATCACTTGAGACAAGGTTTATTTGGATGAAAATATCTTTAGTAAATGATGAATCAGTACTTCTTCGTGTAGTAGTTATCTGTCCTTTACAGGACTGGATCCATTAATGTCATAGATCACTTTGTCTTTGGGCGGAAAGGTAGCCTAGTGGTTAAAGTGTTCCCTTGTCACACCAATGTTTGGTTCGATTCATCACATGAATACACCGTGTGAACACATTTCTGGTGTTCCCTGCCGTGATATAGTGCTGGAATATTGCTAAAAGCGGCATAAAACCATACTCACTCACTCACTCACCCACAAGCACATGGTACTGGATCCATATAAGTTCATTATCCTAGGCAAGCTTTTGTGCCACTCACCTGCTCCCAATAAAAAGCAATACTTACATTCTTCGGTGCTGGGGGAACCCCAAAGCCTGATGTTCCTGCTTCAGGTTGCAGGACTGGACTCTCCTCCCTCGCTGGTTTCACCTCTGTCTTTTTCTTCACTTTAAATTTGTCGTAATTCATTTTTCTTTCCACAGGTGCTGCCATAGTTTTGGGTTTCTTTGGTGCCAATGAAGTATCACAGTTCAAAAATCATCAAATGACATACTGTCATCATCTAAATTCACATGTTTCCGTTTTTCTACCTTCTTCTTCTTGTCACTACTTTCCCTCCCACTATCCTTCCCACTATTCTGAACAGCACCACTACTCCCTGAATGAGTATCCCTGCTGCTACTCTTGGGATGATTGTCACTAGCACTGCTCTTTGAGGGTCGATCTTTGGACCTCTGTGTATCATGCTTAGACTTCTCCTTCAGATCCTTCGCTTCTCTCCTCTCATCCCTATGTTTGTCCTTCTTAGGCACATCGGAAGAATGTTTATCACCCCTATGGTCTGACTTCACATGACCATTCCCTGAGTTTGAATACTTTTCATGTTTACCAGGCACAGCATTAGAATGAGAATTAGTTTTGGAAGAGTGAGATGGCTTAGGAGAATGAGTTCTCTCTGGTTTAGGCAATGAAGGTTTGGAAAATGCACCGGTAGGATCCACTGGTTTAGGCTTTGGTTTAGTTGAAACTGTTTTAACTTTTTCAGTATTGTCAACACTAAATAAATCAAAAACTGACTCGCCATGACCTGATACAGGTTTGGCTTTCTTTTTAGGCACCATCTTCTCATCTTTATCTGGACTAAACAAACTGGCTGAGGAATACATATCATCTTTGGAAGGTTTGGCACTGCCAGATTTAGAATGGGAATGTGAGGAACTAGATTTGGAGTCTTTATCCCTCCTGTGTTTGTCAACATCACTTTTTTGTTCTTTTCTGTGATCTTTTATTTCCTGTTTCTTTGATCTATCATCACTAGTCTTCTCCCCTCTGTGTCTTTCTTGTGGCTTAGGAGACTCCAGTCTGTTTGAACTGGAGTGACTTTTCTCCTTACTGGAATGTTTAGTTCTATCTGATGAGGCACCTTCTCTGTACTTCTCCTTCTTGAGTTCCTCCTTCATTCTGTGCCTGTCTTCCTTAGAAGGCAACAGTTCAGTGCGGTCTCTATGTTTGTGTTTGACATCCATCTTCGGGGAATATTGTGGACTTTCTCTATGTTTGTGTTTGATATCGGTCTTTGAGGAATATTGTGGACTTTCTCTATGTTTATGTTTGATATCCGGCTTTGGGGAGGACTGTGCACTTTCTCTATGTTTGTGTTTGATATCCATCTTTTGGGAAGAGTGTGGACTTTCTCTATGTTTGTGATCCCTCTTTGGGGAGGACTGTGGACTTTCCCTATATTTCTGCTTCTTTGACTCTTGGTATGATGCATGACTCCCCCTGTCTGAACTATCTTGATAACCATGTCTCTTTTTATCTGAACTATCTTGATAACCATGTCTCTTTCTATCTGCACTATCTTGATAACCATGACTCTTTCTATCTGAACTATCTGGATAACCATGTCTCTTTTTATCTGAACTATCTTGATAACCATGTCTCTTTCTATCTGAACTATCCTGATAACCATGTCCCCTTCTATCTGGACTCTCTTGATGCCCTTCACTGCCACTATCAGAGCTGCCCCGATAACGGTGTCTCCCTCTATCAGGACTATGACCATGCTTTTTTCTGTCCGGGCTCTCCTGGTAACCATGCCTCCCTCTCTCTGGAGAACTTTCGTCTGACCTCACATCCTCATCATCCTCCTCACTGTCTGAGGTATGCTCATCGCTGTCAATAAACATGTTCTTGGGTCGGCGGGGTGGTTCATCGTATTCCTCCTCTTGTGCTTCACTGTCGGACTGTCCCCCCTCTGAGGAATACCTCCTGTCTGATTCGTCCCCTGGAAATAGGAAAACTTCATCAAACTCAAGATATAACAAACCAATATGACTTATCTAGGTGTTCTGTGGGAAGATCTTCAGACATGGGTCGACAGTATGAGTCAGTAACAAGACAAAGTCATTCATATCACAAATAGTAATCTATCTGTTTTATCATACCTTCATGCCAGAGAAGTTTAACCTGCATATAAGTCACAAAATATACATCTTACGCCAACGAAGTTTAATGCTAAATCTTTTTAGTACAACAGACATTATGATGGATAACTGAATCAAATCTGTTCTTCAAATGCTTTCTATACCTTCCAGTGACCAGAATTGGCAACAAGTAATTTTCAGTAGATACAGCCTTCCATTGGATAGCAGTTACACACATATTTAACATTCTCAATTATTTTCATGACATAAAAGCAAAAGATCAATCTTCCCTGGATGTATGTATGGATTGGTATGGATTGTCAGGTTCCCTTAAAACTAGTTTTATACCTCAGCTGCCTCACTCTTAATTAGTCAGTTTAATTCTTAAAAAGGCAGATGCCAATTATATTAAATTAAGCTGACAGATGGACAGGTGAACAGAATGATGGATTGGACAGGTCACTTGGTGTCTAAGTTAACCTACCTGAGACATGCTCTCGTTCTCGTTCAGGAGATGGGGACCGAGATGGTTCAGGAGATGCAGACCGTGAACGTTCAGGAGATTGGGAGGGTGACCGTTCAGGGGAGGGTGATGGTGATGGGGAGGGTGGGGGTGATGGGGAGGGAGGTGGAGAGGGTGACCGCCTAGAGGAACCTTTCTTCTTTGAGGAGCTGGCCTCGGTAGCAACTTGATTCTTCCATCTGGCAACCAATTCTCTAGCTCTGACACCTATTTCAGTGTCTCTCTTGCGAAATCCATTTACTAGCTTGCCCAATCCAGTTTCCTGTAAAGGTGAATTTCTTTCATAAGTAATTTGAGTAAGTAAATTCAAGGCACAAGGACAATGCCTTTAGGAATGAGAGGTTGATAAAAAAAAGACTGCTGGAAGCAAGCTGATGCAGTTTGAGTGAGTATGGTTTTACGCTGCTTTTACTTGAAGTTTAAGCAATATTCCAGCAATATCACTGCAGGGGACACCAGAAATGGGCTTCACACATTTTACCCATGTGGGGAATCGAAACCGGGTTTTCGCCTTGACGAGCCAACGCTTTAACCACTAGGCTACCCCACCGCCCCTGATGCAGTTTGATATGTCTTTGAAGTAAATGATTATAATAACCATATGATTGATTTGCAGTTACCTTAATGCAAGCACATATCTTACAGGCATATGAATGATCAATGGCTAAAATCCATGTGTTCATTACTCATCAGCAAATCAATCATGGAAGCTTTACTCACTGACAACGCTTCCACAACAAGGTGAGGTGAGGTGAAATTGGGTTTAACGTCGTGCTTGAGAATATTTCGCTCATATGACGATGTGCATGCGTGCGTATGTGTATGTGCGGCTGCTTGTATTAGCCCAGACTGAAGCTGGTTTTATAGTGCTAGCTCACTGAGAAACCATGCCGCAGTGAAGCATGAATACCCCACTCAGACACATTATACTGACTCCGAGACGACCAGTCCTTGTTGTACCCATTAATGCCAAGCACCAGGCAGGGACCAACAAGTACCATATTTTAACATCTTTTGGTATGACGCGGTCGGAGAGCGAACCCGGAACCATCCGCTCTCCGGGCGGACGCTCTAACCACTACCCCACGGAGGCGGTCTACCACAACAAATATGTGCCTTCCAAATTATCAGATTGCGAGTCTCCAAACCCTCAGCTTTTACATTCTACCAATCTAGTTCCAGATCACAATGCATGGCATATACCACACAAGTAATACTGTCTACACTTCCTTTGACTGACCTGTAACAGTGATATGGAAACTTGGAGGGCGGACAGTTTGTTGAGGACTAGCAGCACCTAAAATGATAGGAAATGTTTTCAGCTAATGGAATAGAGAAAGATGTTTCACTTGAAAATCTTGGATCCGTAGCAGGATATACAGTATTGTATCCAAATACAAAGCATACAGTGTAATACAATAATGTACCAACCTAGAACTACAATACATATTATATACTGGTATAAAAACATGTCAATATGAACAGAAACTGTTCAACAACAAACTTATTCCCTACAACCTTCAGATTCTCTAGCATATGCAAGATCCCTTTAACAACATATCATTCAGGATTAATAATAACAGTGCATATTTGTAGGGCTGGGACGATTCACCAATGCACCGATACATCACGATACATTTAAGTTTGATACAGCTATCGTATCGTTGACTGGTGTATCGATACAAACCGATACACGACTTTTTTTCAAAACAGTATTATCTTAAACATGTCAAAGTACTTATTGAGAGAAAAGTATGCATGTATGGTAGAGTTACTTGTTTGTTTATTACAATAGTTTTATTGTTATACAAACATACCTTGAAATAAATCATTTTAAATCTTAATACTGTCATACAGTGTCATTCTTTCAAGGTGTATGCATCATGATACGTATCGTATCACAGGTAAAATATCGCAATACGTATCGTATCGTGACACTGACATAGTGTATCGTCCCAGCCCTACACATTTGTAATGCACACACATCCACGCTCTTAAGCATGCTCTTGTTGGCGCTAAAGGGTTGTGATTCACATACAGAAAGAAAATGGTCAACTTATGAAATACCAATATCATGTTGGGATATGAACCATAATGCACATATAGTTTAAGTATATATGTCATAAACCAGCAATGTGTTGCAATATGAATCATATTGCACCTATAGTACCAGTACATGCATAATGTTTACAATCGTCTAAGCACCAACATCCCTTTGTGGAACTGCACCCTGGATTTTAACTTAGTAATCAATGAATTTCCTTATTTTATTTCTTGGAAGATTGTTCAAACTTATATGGTGTTATTTTCATTTCAGATTCCTTATTACATCTACTTGCCTTGATAAATTTGAGACACTGACAACAGAAAGATATGATTTGTGTAAGCATTGAAACAAACGTGTGAATGACTGGTTGGGAGGCAAGGCAGTTAAGGAAATTAAATTTATGATATGAAGTAAATTCAGGCAAATGAGATTAAGATTACACTACTTAAAAATTGAATACTTTTGTCCTAAACACTGGAAAACATAATTAGCCTTGAAAAAGATAGTCTATATCAGTGTACATAGATCTGTACTTACTTAAGTTTCACGATCCTAGCATTGTGATTTAAGTGGCTTACATTTTTATTAGTCTGACAGTAAATCAGGGAGTTTCATTTTTGCTTTCTTTTCGGTCCCACATGTATAGAACCTGAGCACCATCAATTATCAGTTTTCAGCTGCTAATAATTTGCATGTATCATGAACCATACTTCATATTTGAATTTTAGCAATAATTAAATTCACTGTTTAGAATATTTAGATTACCATAAACAAAAACATCACTTAACCGCAGTGTATTTTCTTTTCGATTTCTTGTATGTAGACGTTGAAAATTTCAGTGCATTTATTTTTAATTCATGCTTAGCATAGATATAATCGGTTCATATTTATTGCACCGTGTATGATGGGGACGACCACATATATTTATGCTACCTTATCCCCGTATGGATGTGACTCTAGATACGCTTTATATTTCTTCAGTTTGTGTGAAATCTCTGGATCCGCCATTGCATACGTCTACTAAGGGCAGATAACTCTAATTCACTGGTAACGGTCTCAGAAACTTATACAGTAGCTTCTTTTATCCCCACGTTACCGCTTATGACCTATGAGAAATGCGGATGTTTGATGCATCTTACTAAAATGGACAGTTGTTCTGCCAACAGATTATTTGTAAATATACATTCGCCGTTCATTAAATAATGATATGTTTGGATATATTTTTTAATTTGATGTTAAAAGTATCTGCTGAGTGCTACATAAGGGACCGTTCATAATTTATGGCTGGGGGTGATGATGATTTTAAGGGGTCACCCATTTTGTTCTGAGAAGCTAGGGGGTCAGCAATTTTGTGCACACGTATTAGGGGGTCAGCAATTTTGTACATAAAGATATGTTTAAAATTATGCTTAGAAATTATGGGAAGTGGAGGGGGTCAATGAATTTGTACATGACATGCAGGGCGGGGTCACTAATTTTGTACATACATTTTAGGGGGCATTCACATTGTACATGTTTCTCCATAAAAATCATCATCCCGCACACACACACACCCACACACCCCCACCAACCCCCACCCCTTGCCATAAATTATGAACGGACCCTAAGCAGTACTAAATGATTTCATTCCAAAAACGAACAGCATGTACAGTTCTAGCACAAGCAAATAAGCCCTATTCCCAGTACGATCTCTCATAAGAAAATTTGTCATATGCCCAAAAGATGATCTTAAGTTATTTGATTTATAAATTGTACCTATACTTATGTATGCCAGTGAAATATTGGGTTATAAAGACATGCAACAAATTAAAATTGTACTTCGATCATTTTGTAAATTTGTATTAAATGTTGGTAAATCAATTCTAAACGTTGCGATACATGGAGAATGTGGTAGATATCCACTTTATGTGAAACAGTTTACAAACTGTATAAAATATTGGATAAAACTTGTTACAACCCACATAAAGAAATTGTTATTTACGTTCGAGTTGGGCCATGTTTGGCTGTATCAAGGTGTTTGAAATGTAGATAGTTGAAAAAGAAATGTTAACTCAAAGAGTCATCGACTGTGCGAATCAAAACTGGCATTCTGAATTATTAGAAAAGAATTCTCTATGATTTTATTTATCCATTAAAACTGTATTTAATCAAGAGTTGTATATTAATGCTGAGAAGAACCAAAAATACAGATGGTCATTACTTCTATTTAGAACAAATTCTAATCGTTTAAGAGTACAAAATGTTAGAAAAGGTTTTTGTAATGTTGAAAATGATGATGCTAAATGTCCCCTGTGTAATATATTAGAAGATGAGAAACATATATTTTATCCATGCACATTATATATACACAATTTAGTCTCCGTATGGAATTAACTGTCTCTTTACAATGTAACATACGTCCGGATAATTTTAAACATTTACTGAATTCAAATGATACAGATACTTTGTTTATATTAGGTAAATATTTATATAATATCTTTAAGATCCATATACAACAATTGTAAAGCGCACATGCATGTCTTTCTGTATATATTTGTATGAATGTGGATCAATTGGCCTTGAAAACAATAAAGATGATGATAAACGCGAACGGTTGTATAAGCCAGCAACCTCATTGTCTCACTGTGACGTTTGATGAGTTTTGATAAAATAAGCAACACTTCAGAGACAAAATAGGGTACGTAGATGTGTAGTGTGATCTCCTGGTTATTATAACAGGAAACAAAGAAATCACCATTGGCTTTCGACACACCAAAGACGACTCATATCTGTCTTTATCAACAAAGCGATATATAGAAGTTGTGCTAAATATATGGGGGAGTTTTGCCTCTCTCAGTCAGTTAAACTTCAATACGAACACGGATGCTGATATAAAAATGCCAACCAGGAGTACATTTTGTGCCCGATTTAAAGATACTTTGCCTTTGAGGTATCTTTTTTTCTATTGGAAGCGTTTCAAACTTTTTGCATTTCGTCAATTGAAGTGTGCATGTCACAAATAACATATCACGGCTTATCAAAGTTGTTTGACAGACTTATCTTTTTGACATCTTACCATTTAACATCAAACGCATGGTCAAAATTCAGCTCATAAAATTTTACCGGACACAGACCAGTTTAGAAGGAAAAGGTCACCTATTAAAACAATCTATAGCTCAAAGACCTTTCATGACTGTCTTACCCAAGGTCTTTTTAACCTGCACGTCTTCTTAACCGTGTATATGTCAAATACAATAGGTTTTGTGTTTCTTTTATCATTTTCATATGTTGATACATGTCATCGTATCCCAGTTGCGTAGATAGATGCTCATGCTGTTGATCATTGGATTGTCTGGTGCTGGCTCGGTTATTTACTGACCGCCGTCCTATAGCTGGAATATTGCAGAGTGTGGCTTTATAAACAAACAAACAAACAAACAAACAAAATGTTCCACGATGTTTACTGAGAATCATTACCATATAAACATATTGAAAGGAATTTCGTGCCATTTGATTGCTAACCAAGCAATTATGCTTAATATGCACACATTCGCTGTCATGTTCCTGTTGTTAGGTATAACTAGGTACAATAGGTTCCCTAAACCTCGTGCTTATGTATGTCCGATGGGTGACCTTGCTGAACGCGTGCCATCGTGAACCGACGGCATAAATCATTATTCGTGTTATCAACCCGTGGTCTGGCTGGCTCAGACAAGACTATTTATTTCTGGTTAAAGGTAGTCATCGAGGGCGCTCATTCCAACGATCCTTCTATTACCACGCTCACTTCCTACACGCTAAACTTCATTCCTGCAGGCTACGTTAGAATGAATCGCGAACACTTTACGAGTGGTCGTTAGATAATCGGGTGGTCAAGCTCGGGAGCTTGGCTGATCGTGTGTCTTTCTCCTTAAACGGCGTGGGACTTCATAATAAAATCAGTCAATACTTCGTTTAGTACTGGTACGTTATTTGCTGGCCACTTAAAAAGTGTTGGACTGTGGCGTAAAAACAATTGTACACATATTCTCGCGTAACAGTTGGAATGTATTGGCCGTCTTAAGAAACAGTTAGTTAACTATTTAAATAATATATTAACGAGATTCAAGAGAGATTTTAAAAAATAGGTTTGAATTTATCGTGATATTATTTGGGGGTTATAAATCGTATTGGAGAAAAGAAAGAACTTGCATCTGTAAGTGTTCTGGGTATGAAATCATTTAGGTGTGGTATATTTGTCTCCTGAATAGGCATGACCGCCTCCGCGGTGTAGTGGTTAGAGCGTCCGCCCGGAGAGTGGAAGGTCGCGGGTTCGATCCCCGACCGCGTCATACCAAGGACGTTAAATTATGGTACTTGTTGGTCCCTGCCTGGCGCTCGGCATTAATGGGTACAACAAGGACTGGTCGGCTCGGAGTCAGTATGATGTGTCTGAGTGGGGTATTCATGCTTCACTGCGGCATGGTATCTCAGTGGGCTAGCACTATAAAACCAGCTTCAGTCTGGGCTAATACAAGCAGCCGCACATACGCATACACACGTATGCACGTCGTCATGAGCGAAATATTCTCAAGCACGAAGTTAAACCCAATTTCACGTCACCTCACCTGAATAGGCTTGCTTAAAAGGAACTGGGAAAGATGACACACTCGGGTGCGCAAGAAAATGATATGAGAAACAATGAAGGGAACGATTAAATGAAGAAGTGGACGGATCTTCAAATCCTCATCAAGGATCATGAGTTTGGGATTAAAGACATAAGCAAGTGCACGTGAGCGGTAACGTAAAGCTCTGTCGGTTTCTCTGGCGTTATTCGAATTTCACCACATGAACAAGTTTTAAAACCGCAGATTACTAGACCTGTAAGTAATTATAAGCCAAGAAAACTTTAAACATTCGCTATTTGCAAAGTTCTCCACCCTGTTTCAATTTGAGGCAAATCAAAGCTTATGTTGTAAGAAACAAGCTTATATGACTATGTTGTTGTCGACAACAGGGTGAGACAGGAGGAGAGTCAAAGTAGTGACATTCTGGAGTGAGTGAGTGAGTATGGTTTTACACCGCTTTTAGCAATATTCCAGCAACATCACGGCGGGGACACCAGAAATGGGCTTCAAGCATTGTACCCATGTGGGGACTCAAACCCGGTCTTCGGCGTCATGAGCGAACGCTTTGACCACTAGGTTACCCCACCGCCCCAGTGGCTGTTTGGAACTCATGGAGTATGCGGACAGGGGCGTGTCACGCTTAGAAACAGCGTTAGAAAGACATATAGGTACATCCCTTTCCTTTTATATAGTACTAGGGTTGGGTCTATATACCTATATGTCTTTCTAACGCTGTTTCTAAGCGGACACGCCCCTGTGGGAGTATGCGGACAGGGTATCATCTTCTTGGTGACTGGGCATAAATCTTTGGGTTGTGTTTTACCAGTTGAATGTTTCACTGATGTGACTCGTTATTGTGTACGCATCTAAATAATGTGAATTATATGATTATGTATTTATGTTTTGTATCTTACAAAATATTTGTTTGATACGTGGAGAAAACTGAGCTGAAAAACTAGTTATCATTTGGGAATAAAAATTTCAACTACCACGTATCCCGTGAAGATCCGGGATAGAACTGTTCTTCAGTAACCCATGTTTGTCCTTAGAGGCGACTAACGGATCGGGTGGTCAGGCTCTCTGACTTGGTTGACACATGTCATCGTACCGCAATTGCGTAGATCGATGCTCATTATGTTGATCACTGGATTGTGTGGTTCAGACTCGTTTAGTTACAGACCGCCGCCATATAGCTGAACTATTGCTGAGTGTGGCTTAAAACTAAACTCACTATTTAGCGCGACAGATGGTAACACTGAAAACACAGACAGTCGTATCAACAGGGGGCTAGGTTTCAGGGTTACACCCTATATTAAAAAGGGGTATAAATCAAGGGCTGATCGGCCTGGGGGCAGTGTAATGTGTCGGAGTAGGGCATCCAGTTAGAATTGTGGCATGGTATCTCAGAGGGATAGCACTATACATGTAATACTGGCATATACCCCTAAGCTCCTATAAGCAGCCACACCTCTCAGCACTGGCACCTATGTGAAACAGTCTTGAATTCCAGGTGAAACCCCATTTCACACCTTTGACTGAAAGTATCCATGATATATAATCTATATAGTTTATATATATAGCAAGAATGCACTGTGCTTGGGGAAGCTGTAGAGAATAAGTCACTTCTGAGAAATAAACTACCCATCAAAAGTTTAGTCTCACTAGTGTAAATGTAGCCACTTACTTCAGTCAACTGTTCTAAACCAGATTTTGCAAAATATTCCATACTGTTTAAAGGTACTGTTTACATAATAACTGATGTATTGTAAAAGAAATTTGTAACATTGAAAAGATTATTGTCATGAGTTCAATAAATGATGAAACTCAGTGAAACCTGGAGAATTCTTAAAACTTTACACCAAAACACAGCTGTTCACATGCACGATATTTGCACATTCTTTTCAGCAATTTGATGCATGATCCTCGTGCAATTCATCTGCATAAGATTTGCAGTTGGTTCCCCCAAGTTAGTGGAGAAATTCATCTTCGATGTAACCACATATATATATATAACATATAGTGAGTGCTTTAAGTGAGTCTAAACTTTTGATGGGTAGTATATAATTGTGAAAAATGGGATTTGCAAAGGCTAGTTTTTCACCCAGTGACAAGATACCCTCTCTTGTTGTGCTGGTGTAGTTCAGGAAGTCACACATGTATGACAAGGCAATTGTTATAAAAGGATGAATTTATTATGACAATGTACAAACTTTGATATTATCTTGGATTATATACACATGAGAATCGTAGAAAACACCTTGTAGAAATCAACAACATGTAACAATGTGTTTATAACAGAACCAAGGCTGCATAAAAGTAAAAATGACTGACTGACAGAGTTTGGTTTTTACGCTGCTTTTAGCAATATTCCAGCAACATCAAGGCGGGGGACACCAGAAATGGGCTTCACACATTGTACCCATGTGGGGATTCGAACCCGGGTCTTCGGCGTGACGAGCAACGCTTTAACCATTAGGCTACCCCACCGCCCCTAAAAGTATAATGAACTGGTTTTAAGGCAAAGTCCCAATCTTGCTGAAATTTGTCTCTTACATTTTCCTTATTTAATTCACATTTGCAGATCTCAATCCATTATCCACTTACTATAGACATACTGCTGGCCTTACAACATGTGACAAAAAAGAATATTGCTTCACAAATGTCAAACTGAGCAGACAGGTTAAACTATGATTTTGTTAAATCATATCCAAAATGGAATGTTTTCTCACAATAAGTAATACAAATGTCAAGGTCAAAGGGGTATTCTTTTTGTATATCAAACACAAATATAAAGGCAAAAATTCACAAAAAGACAATGGGACTACAAGGAATAGAAATACAAGGAACATTTGAGATAATCTGTGTCGCTGCCATACACACATAAAAATTATAAAACATATTTACATGATCATTTACTTAGACATGTAATTTGTCAAACTCTCATGTTTTACAATACTATTAAAATGTAAACTTCTCATCAAATGACAACACTATTAATAATAGCAGTTTAACTGAAATTGCTACTATAGATGCATAGATAACACAGTGAACAGTGAGTGAGTTTAGTGTTTATGCCACACTCAGCAATATTCCAGCTATATGGCGGCGACACAGTGAATAAGATGTAGAGACTCATACTTTTATGCATTTTTTTAATTTAACTGAAACATCATCATAATCTATCACTCAAAAGAAGTTAAACTTATTCTGACATCCAAGTAGCTGTAGGGAGTGGAAATGCCATGTTCTGTTCAGCAGTAGAAAACTGTATCGCTTACTTCAACCACAAAGACTGTGTAAGAATTCTGAACTGTAGAGATTGATGCAGACCAAAGACTGTTGATGAAAGAATTACTGTCAGGTTATCTCTTCCAACCATGGATGATGTTAAAACAACAGAGAAGAATCCTATTTACAGTGTCTTTAACAATTTTTGGCATATGCTTCTAAAGCTGCTCTAAAAAAGCCAAACGATGTCATCAATACATACATTACCTTTTTATGTACAAACAGTGGGACATGGGTATCCAATGCTGCTGATAAGACGTTGGCATCAAGCCATTATAAATATTCTATCTAGCCGTGGAAGTATATACCCATACATATTACAGTTCCTGGAGATGGATGATGGCTCACATGTACACCTAAATCCCTGAAAGGTATGTCACTGAGATTTCAGTTTATATGCTACATCAAAGACAGAACTTCCCACACAGAAGGCAGCAAATCTCATAAGACTCAGCTTTGACAGTATACATATCAACATGATGAGCTGACATACTTGCAAGCCGTGTTAAATGTTAAACATATATTAAAAATAATAGGGCTGGGACGATACACTATGTCACGATATGATACGTATTGCGATATTTTACCTACGTTATGATATGTATCACGATACATACACCTTGAAAGAATGACACAGTATTAAGACTTAAAATGATTCAAGGTATTAGTGTATAACAATAAAACTATTGTAATAAACAAACTCTACATTATGTAATTACACAGACAGGCAGGTGTGATACTTGACTTGTTATGATGTCTGTTGATTGCAATTTTCCTCTAAATAAGTACTTTAACACGCCGTCATATGTTTAAGATAACACTGTTTTGAAAAATTTCACACCTCACCTCGGTTTGTATCGATATACCATAATCGAAAATATTGATAGTTGTATCAAATTTACCAATGTATCGATAGTTGTATCAAACTCGGTGTATCGATGCATCGGTGAATCGTCCCAGCCCTATAAAATAAAAGCACTAACAATGTATGCCAATTTATTCGGACATTACTGTAACAAATGTATTACACATCAGATAAAGTACACACAAACTAAAGAAAATAAAAATACTGCAGAACAAAAGATTTCCTGTTTTCAGTATGGACTAAAATTCTGCTGGAGAGATGGAAAGTCTTTATCTAACAATACATGCATGGTATAATCTGTCACGCTCAAATTATTCCTTCCAAGGTGTAAACAAGCCAAATAAAGTTTTAATGCTTTCTTTGACCACAATTTGAATTAAAGGACTGATAAGGTTATTCCATGTATCTAATCATATCTGTATTATTTAATCACCAAACCATCTCACACAGCATATTTGTAGGCAACAATAGATATACAGGTGAGACGAACACAGGTGCAAGGAAGGTTTGAGGGTAAGGCATCTTGGCAAGGTCAGCAACGAGACACGTTTGTCATGCTGCTTAGTTTTGAGTTTGTCGATCCTCTATAATCATGTTTATCATACCTGAAATGGTAAAACAAGCATTGAGGTTGAGGTTCACAAAACGAGTATTTAGTGCAAGCACATCTGTTAATTATCTTTTTACTTTACATACAAATGTTAAACTGGCATTCAGAGCTGCCCCAACAAGAGAATTAAAGAAAGATATGTTTTTATCAGTGTAGAAAACATTTGATCCATCTGAAAAAAAACCTTTGATTCCTATCAACTTTGTCTTTAGTCCATGTTGTGTAAGTAGATGTTACATTAAAAAGACTAGGAAAAAAAGAAAACATGACAAGTTATAGGAGGACAGAGATTCATAAGAAATTCATTTCTTATTCAAGTTAACATTTGTAATTTGAACTCTTTGATGGAAAAACATTACAGAAATTTACCAAAGTAACCATCAGATTTCAATTTAGTTTGTCAAGATAAAATACTGACATGTTCTAATGATCGTAATAAAAGCATCTTAAAAGCTTGCAAGATGTCATTTAACATGAAAGGTAAAAATCAAAGTGTATATAATGTATATCATAAAAAATATTCAACCTTATAAAATCACTCCAAAGGGAGACAATCCTGCCCCGGCAATGACGGTTTTGTGACTGCTCCCAGTCACCCTCACACTATACCATCACCGGACAGTTATGTTTGTTTGTTTGTTTGTATGTTTGTTTGTTTAACGTCGCATTCAGCAATGTATGTCTGTTAATGCATTGGTTGTACTCAGTCTTACCTGTCTGCCTCTCTGGTTCTAGCTGGTCTATATTTCGTCTCATAACTAAAGAAAGAAAGCCACAGGACCTTCTTAAGCAAGTGACAAAAGAGGGGAAAGTACAAAGCAGACAAACCTGTGAACTTTTGATTTTTAACATTAATTTCCTCATTATCTCATACAGTCACAGATACAAACAGAACCAAACATATTCCTAAAGATCTCAACATTTGCAGGGATTTACAGTACGCAAATTCCTGCGTCCTATACACATAAAAACTGACAATGGACGCAACGAAATTTATTAGCGCTCACAGGGACATAGAAAAGGTCCAAATACTTTTGTAAAAATTCCAATTTAGTAACAATAACTTATCACTGAGTTTGCTACTAGCTGGGTTATGGTATCATTTGCAATTTCATCACTGGGTAAGAGTTCCTCCCGTTCCCCCATCCCAAATAATATTTATAAATTAATATATACTAAAATTATTAACAAAACCTAACACAAACAACTCACACAAACAACTAAAATCCCAAAATTTTAATTACAAAATTTAGGGTCGAACAACGTTGCATTACCTCTATTAATCTGCAGAAGAAAGAAGTGGGCAATATGGGGGAACGGAAGGAATTCTTTCTCATTACTGTCACAATTAATGTGTTGATCATGATACACAATACAATAACAGTATTAATGATAATATTTAAGTGTCTGGTACCCCCATTTTGTAGTCCAGCAGCCCTTAAAATTATAAGTATGAGTCCCAGGAACCCTCAAATACAGGACTAAAGGCAAATCCCTGCATCTGTTTAGTGATATGAATATTTGTTGCCGCACCTAGGTATTGAATCTTACTTTTGAAAAAAGAAAGATGTTTCACCGATCTTACTGAAAGAATTACTAATCAATGATAGAAATACCTTGTGATAAGAAGTAGGAGTATAATTAATAAGTAGACAATGTATCATGACGTATTATCTGTAACAAACTTAGTTCACAGATTGGCCAAGCTGCGTGTGGGATTAGGAAGCACAAATACTGGGCAGCTCTGAATTCACTGTTATAATTCATGCTAATACACATTCAACCACTTCTCTAGACAACATGAGAGGAACTTGAAAGCAATTGGTTGAAGGAGTAACAAAGAAACATGTTACTTCATAAAATGACACGTAATGAGTATGACCAAATCAATTATACAAGTGAAAAAGGAATACTTTAGAATTGTAAAATCAAGGTATTAAAGGAATTTTCTTATTCATCTATAAGAAAGAAAATATACCAAGAAAATAACAGTGCAAAGTATAGTATAAAATGAATGAAACAGTTGACATGCTTTTGATAAATACCACTTCGGGTGTGAAAGAAACCTCAAATTTATAAGACAGATAAAGAAAAAATCAATACTTTTTAGTCCTTGTCTTTCTGGCGAGGACAATACAGACGGCAATGATGATGATGATCATGAGAGCACCTGCTGCAACCAGGGCCCATGTTGATATCTCATAAGCTGATGTTTTCACAGTTTCTGGAGATTGTGTCGTCCCAAAAGCAACTGTAAAAGAATGTACTATCATTACCAATCATGGTTATCATGACACATGCTGATCAGGAACAATATTTCATAAGGGCAATTTTAAATCATATAATCATTTCAAGCAGGAATATAGTGGGGGGAAAAGCAGATGAATGCATGTTATTACTGTCAATCCCATTAGTAACGCTTTATGAAAAACATATTGTGTATCTATCGTTCCCTGTCCAATTGGTCAGTCAGCACTCATCCTTCATCAGTGTATGCTTGTGTTTTAAGTGCATGAAATAAGATCTATATGCTTGTATTATTTCACTGAATGTCAAATTATAAAATACAGGACATATTCTATTTTTTAAATTGGTACAATACCCATTTGAAGGCCCTAATTCTTTTGTATTTGACCAAGGACTACAGGTCCTGAGAAAATAAATCTGCAAAGAGGAATAAAAGGCCTGATTTTATCATAAACAGTCTAATCCTTTGCTACACCATCTGGTACTTAGCCACTGGACATACTAGGTCAGTTTAAAAAGCTAGCTAGTAAATTCTCAGGTGTTATATAGATGTCCATTATTACTATTCAGTCTAGTAAGACTTTCAAGTTAATTTCCATCTATGGCCAACATACAAGTATTGTTTGTAATACTCACATAAATCTCTCCCTGAGACTTTGGGGAAGTATTCTGTCCAGAAGGCATACTGTTTCTGTCTGAAGTTGGTCAGGTTCTCGGACTTGTCGGTGATACACAAGTAGCTGTGGTTGGTGGGGTTGTACCCTAACCAGGTTGCGTTGCGGAAGTCTTTGATGGGACGGTCACGTGGGGTTGGATTACTGGAACACAATTTCATGTTATGAGCCATAGAATGAAAACGGCAGCACTCACACATGATTAATATGCAACTTTAACACTGCCATCGACTGTTAGGGCTGGATATTGCCCTGATTGTCATATTGCAATATATTGCAACAACTTAAGAGATATTGCAATACATATTGTGATATATTGACTGGAAGGTTTCTGCCCAAGTACATCATAAATTCATAATAGCTCTCTGTGTGCGACATCATCTTCTTAGTTACTGTTACACCATACTTTGAGGCTCCCCGTCCCCATTGTGTATGGCTGTATGTCAATCGTTTACAGATAAATAAAATGATATAGAGTCTTGAGATGAAATGTTTAATTGAAGTATTGCAACACAGTTTTGCGAACATAATGATAAAGGTAATCATATAACATGATTTTCAGTGTTGTTTGCTTCAACAGAATGCACTTCAATGCAGTATGTAATTATTGTTACTGTATGTCAGTGATTCGTTCAGATTCAACTCCAATATTAACATGTGTTAACATGAACTGTTGCAAAATGAAACAAAAACATGATTTAATTGAACTACTTGAGCATAAAATCGCATATGAGCTCCAATTACTTGGATCCTGGACTAGAACGTCATTATACAGTCCTACAAAATTTATAAGGCTTTGACCTTTATGATAAATTAATGTCAAATGTCCCATTATGAAACAAACAAAAATAAAAAAATACTGTGAATTGTGACATGGTCACTCACAGGCCAGAGGCTCTACTAATAAGTCCAAATAAAAAAATGGTCCATTTGAGGCCACTTAACTCCTCCAAATGAAACCATTGAAACCCACAAAACGTAATGCATTTGGTAGAATATTTGGCACTTTTGGAGCCACTTATAATGACACTTCCACTTGTAATATGTTACATGAAACCAACAGAAATAAAAATATATTTGGCACTTTTAGATCACATATTTTGCTATGGAAATCAAGGGCAGATAATCCAATATATTGCAGAATCTGAACCATCTGAAGATGATTTACTATAATGGTAATTTGGTGGTGTAAGATGATTGACTATGATTGTGGTGTGGTGGCCTAAGATGATTTGCTATAATGGTAATTTGGTGGTCTGAGGTGATTGACTATGATTGTGGTGTGGTGGCCTAAGATGATTGACTATAATGGTAATTTGGTGGTGTAAGATGATTGACTATGGTTGTGGTGTGGTGGCCTAAGATGATTTACTATAATGGTAATTTGGTGGTGTAAGATGATTGACTATGGTTGTGGTGTGGTGGCCTAAGATGATTTACTATACTGGTGATTTGGTGGTGTAAGGTGATTGACTATGGTTGTGGTGTGGTGGTCTAAGATGATTGACTATACTGGTGATTTGGTGGTCTGAGGTGATTGACTATGGTTGTGGTGTAGTGGTCTAAGATGATTGACTATACTGGTGATTTGGTGGTCTGAGGTGATTGACTATGGTTGTGGTGTGGTGGTCTAAGATGATTGACTATACTGGTGATTTGGTGGTTTGGTGGTCTGAGGTGATTGACTATGATGTGATTTGTGATTGTGATGATTGACTATAGGTTGTGGTGTAAACTGGTGATTTGGTGGTCTGAGGTGATTGACTATAGTTGTGGTGTAGGGCCTAAGATGATTGACTATACTGGTGATTTGACTATAGTTGTGGTGTAGTGGTCTAAGATGATTGACTATATTGGTGATGGTGGTCTGAGGTGATTGACTATAAGATGATGATTGACTATAGTTGTGGTGTGGTGTAGTGGTCTAAGATGATTGACTATACTGGTGATTTGGTGGTGTAAGATGATTGACTATACTGGTGATTTGGTGGTGTGAGATGATTGACTATGGTTGTGGTGTAGTGGTCTAAGATGATTGACTATACTGGTGATTTGGTGGTCTGAGGTGATTGACTATGATTGTGGTGTGGTGGTCTAAGATGATTGACTATACTGGTGATTTGGTGGTCTGAGGTGATTGACTATGGTTGTGGTGCGGTGGCCTAAGATGACTGCCTCTGACTGTGGTTTAACGTACACTTACCCTCTGGCCGTAAAGTTGGTGAACATGTTGATCATATATTCGCTGATGTTGCGATCATTCAAGTCATATTCTTGCCGAGGTCTCAGACCGGTCATATTGATGTAGGTCTCGTTGAAATATGGCAGCCCAAATACATACTGTACGTCTTGTCCATGGGCCACACCTGGTTTATCAAAATGGTGAGTGAGTGACATACACTGACAAGTGAGTGAGAGTGATTAGTACCATTTTAGTGATCACTAGATTGCAGATTAACCAACACAAATTGCCCTTCAGACACTGGTTTTCTCCCAAACAACTAAAGGCTTTAGTAAATTATTACATTTTGATGGGAGGTGGAAGGCATCTTGTTTTATTATGTTAAACTTTATCAATACAACTGCTCACAGTAAAATGTACATGAACTGTCAACTGTGATTCACATTTCGACAGGTCTATCCCAAATGCAGACGTTTACTGTACTTAAGGTAGTTAAGTGCTCGTTATCCCTGTTTGTCAACAATATCACACACCCTCACAGGCGGATCCAGAGGGGGTTGCAGGATTGTGCTACCCCCCTCCCCCCTGTCCTGAAAGTTTATTAAATGACCATTGAAACTCATGAAATCGGGTGAAAATGAACTGTGCACCCCCCTTTCTCAAAAAGCTGTATCCGCCCCTGAGAGAACACGTGATATAGGCTTCACACATTGTACACGTCGGGAATTGAACCTGAGCTTTAGGCATGCCAGGTGACTGCTTTACACACATGGTTACCAAACTGCCCTTGAACTTTTCCCCCTGATAACTGTTCATTTGCTACATCACAACATTTGAACACATTGCAGACTATACATCTAATCAACAAAGACAGAAATTATCTCACCTCTCCATGGTGGAAGGAAGTCATTCCAGGATTTATACTTGAAGACATAGAAGTAGGTTGTGTTGAAGATAACCTGGGAACGCAACATCTCATTGATGCCAGTTCCAAACATGTAGTCTGACATCAGCTGAAAACATTCACATGATTATTGACAGGCAGACATGAATATTTAAACACATGCATTTCATTTCAGCATTAAATGTGAGTGAGTGAGTTTAGTTTTACGCCACACTCAGCAATATTCCAGCTATATGGTGCCGGTCTGTAAATAATCGAGTCTGGACCAGACAATCCAGTGATCAACAGCATGAGCATCGATCTGCACAATTGGGAACCGATGACCACCCGATCCCGTTAGTCGCCTCTTACAACAAGCATGGGTTACTGAAGGTCCATTCTAACCCAGATATTCACTGGTCAGCATTAAATGTATGAACATGTAACAATACCAGGTGTTCTCCTCTGATTGCACTCAATACTGCTTATAACCTCTTTCCTTACTGACCAAGGGTTGGTGGGGTAGCCTAGTGGATAAAGTGTTCACTTTTCACACACGATCCAGGTTCTATTCCCCACATGCTTACAATGTGTGAAGCAAATTTATGGTATGTGACTACTATTTGATGTCTGACAACTAGTAGTCTAGATCACATACTTTTAGTACCCCTCTGACAAGTGTAAACTGGCACAGCCCCCATTATCGAAGCTATGGATACACAATGCCTTTTAGAAAGTTGTCAAACGCAACATGTTATTTTTGAGGATCACAGTAAAGTACCCCAACTGGGATACGAACATACACTGTTGAGAAGTAAGGTGAAGAAGAGAGACTTACATCTGTCAACATCTGCCTGACTTGGCTGTAGTTCTTGGGCTCCGGCCAGTATGTGTACTCATATGAAAGAGCATCAATGGCATTGGACATGTCCACAATCCCTCGGTCACGAAGAAATTCCTTCAGGATATTGTCAAACTGGTCTGGAGTTACACCATCCAGGAGATTTTGTAGGTTGGCTGGATCAAGCAACAGAAGAAAAGACAAAAATATGCAAGGTCTTTAAAATAAATCACAATTAAAGAATATGCAAAAAGTTGATAACAATATCTCATGTTTTCAAAACTATAATTATGATATTTCCTCAATAAAACAAGTGTCATCAGAAGATGACATATCCCCCCAACAAATCATCTGACAGTTACTTAAAAAAAAAGTCCAGCTTGATTTTAATCATTTCCATGGAAATCACGAAAAATATAAATGCCAAAAATCTGTAAATAGCAATAGGCACCACATCAAGATCTGTCTCATATATCTGCCAAATTCTGATGAAAGATATTGAACGGTTTTCAAGTTGTGCTCCGGAAACGAAGCCCAACCCTCCTTTTTGAGACTAAGTCCGATCGTTTCCATGGAAACCGGGATAAATATAAATGCCAAAAATCTGTAAATAGCAATAGGCACCACATCAAGATCTGTCTCATATATCTGCCAAATTCTGATGAAAGATATTGAACGGTTTTCAAGTTGTGCTCCGGAATCGAAGCCCACCCCTCCTTTTTGAGACTAAGTCCGATCGTTTCCATGGAAACCGGGATAAATATAAATGCCAAAAATCTGTAAATAGCAAAAGGCACCACTTCAAGATCTGTCTCATATATCTGCCAAGTTCTGTTGAAAGATATTGAACGGTTTTCGAGTTGTGCTCCGGAAACAAAGGCCACCCCTCCTTTTTGAGACTAAGTCCAAATCCATGGAAATCAGGGAAAATGTAAATACCAAAAATCTGCAAATAGCAAAAGGCACCACTTTGGGATCTGCCTCACATATCTGCCAAGTTATACTGAAAGACATTAAGAAGTTTTAGAGTTGTGCTCCGAAACGAAGCCCATCCCTCCCTTTTGAGACTAAGTCCGAATCGTTTCCATGGAAACTGAAAAAATAATAAACCACAAAAGTCTGTAAATAGGTTCTGTTTGATATATCTGCCACGTTTTGTTGAAAGATATTGAACGATTTTCGAGTTATGCTCCGGAAACGAAGTCCACCCATCCCTTTTGAGTCCAAAACGTTTCCATGGAAACCAAGACAAATAAAAATGACAAAAATCTGTAGATAGCAAAAGGTACCACTTTAGGTTCTGTTTGATATATCTCTACCTAGTTTTGTTGAAAAATATTGAACGGTTTTTGAGTTATGCTCCGGAAACAAAATGATTACGGACGGACAAGGCGTCAACTATATCCCCACCATTACATGCGGGGGATAAGAACCAGTAACTTTAGTCCAATTCCAGAACTGACATGATACATGATATCTAATAGTTTTAAAAGTCTTTTGAACTTGAGTGTACCATACTGCTTTGGAAATGAAAACAAACCCCAAGATTTCAAATTACCCATAGATTTGTCCCATAAAGCTCAGCAAGATATAAATCAGTTTATACGTTATGCTCAAGAAATGAGCAGGATGGATGGATGCAGCCATGTCTTTATCATCCATCCCAAAATGCTTGAGTGGTGATGACAATAAAAGCACATTAATGTACTCACGGATAAAAAATGAGCCTTCATCCAGGACAAGGCCTGCCAAGACCTGCATCTTCTTGAAACGACCCTGCTTGCGGATGGTGCTTGGGGGATCAGGCAGGAAGGAGTAGTCCACTCCTAGCACCTGCCCATCTACCACAGGGCCCCAAGGGTTCCCTACCTTGCCAGGCTGAAACACAAATCATGGACAGATAAAATCAGAAAATGTAGCTACTCAAGACTAACATCTTCTTGAAATGACCTTGCCAATAGATGATATTTTGGGGTTCAAGCAGGAAGGGGTAGTTTCTTCCTTGCCAGTCTGATACAAAAATGAGTGATATAGATAAATAAATATAAATATTGCTCAATGCCACATCAGCAGTTTTGCAGCTATTTGCAGTGAGCTGAAAGTCATAGTCAGATAAAGTGGGAATGTGTGGCTTCTCTTCAGTTATTAATGTCAAAGATCCTGTAATAATGAAATGTAGTCATCTTGACTAAATAACTACATTATCATGGGAGCAAACATTTGAACTGAACCTGACAGACAATGCCATAAGAACAGAAAGTGTTCCAAGAATTTAGCCTTTGAAATATTCACAAATACATATTCTTCATTAGAGGTGAGGTGAGGTGAAATTGGGTTTAACGTCGTGCTTGAGAATATTTTGCTCATATGACGACGTGCATGCGTGTGTATGTGTATGTGCGGCTGCTTGTACTAGCCCAGACTGAAGCTGGTTTTATAGTGCTAGCCCACTGAGATACCATGCCGCAGTGAAGCATGAATACCCCACTCAGACACATTATACTGACTCCGAGCCGACCAGTCCTTGTTGTACCCATTAATGCCGAGCGCCAGACAGGGACCAACAAGTACCATATTTTGGTATGACGCGGTCGGGGATCGAACCCGTGACCTTGCGCTCTCTGGGCGGACGCTCTAACCACTACACCACGGAGGCGGTCTTCCTTCATTAGACTTCTAGTTAGAATTTCTAGAGGTTTAATCCTCACCTTCATCATGACCCGAGCAGAGGCATTGACGATTTCATTGTAGCTACGATACATTCGGAGACATTCCATGAGCCGCTGGTTGTCATTAGTGGGGCAGCCCACCTCATAGCCCAGAGCCTTGGAATATTTCTTAGCATCATCAGACGGGATGATGGCCCACTCACTCAGGTCTGACCCACTCATCATGATGGCTCGGTGGAACAAGTCTGTAACGCATTACATTAGAACACACTCTTACCATTAGAACACACTCTTACCATTAGAACACACTCCATCTGAACATACAGTTACCATTAGAACACACATTTACCATTAAAACACACTCTTTTCATCTGAACACACATTTACCATTACAACACTCTGTATCTGAACATACAGTTACCATTAGAACACTCTTTCCATCCTTACACACATTTACTATTAGAACACACACTTTCCATTAGAACACACATTTACCATTAGAACATACAGTTACCATTAGAACACACTCCATCTGAACACACAGTTACCATTAGAACACTCTCCTTCCATCTGAACACATATTTACTATTAGGACACTCTCTTTCCATCTGAACAGACAGTTACCATTAGAACACACTCTTTTCATCTGAACACACATTTGCCATTAGAACACACTCCATCTGAACACACATTTACCATTAGAACACACTCTTTTCATCTGAACACACATTTACCATTAGAACACACTCCATCTGAACACACATTTACCATTAGAACACACTCTTTTCATCTGAACACACATTTACCATTAGAACACACTCTTTTCATCTGAACAGACAGTTACCATTAGAACACACTCTTTTCATCTGAACACACATTTGCCATTAGAACACACTCCATCTGAACACACAGTTACCATTAGAACACACTCTTTTCATCTGAACACACATTTGCCATTAGAACACACTCCATCTGAACACACACTTACCATTAGAACACACTCCATCTGAACACACATTTACCATTAGAACACACTCTTTTCATCTGAACACACATTTACCATTAGAACACACTCTTTTCATCTGAACACACATTTACCATTAGAACACACTCCATCTGAACACACATTTACCATTAGAACACTCTTTTTATCTGAACACACACTTACCATTAGAACACTCCCCATCTGAACACACTTTCCATCTGAACACACATTTACCATTAGAACACACTCTTTCCATCTGAACACACATTTACCATTAGAACACACTCCATCTGAACACACATTTACTATTAGGACACACTCTTTCCATCTGAACACACAGCATGACATTCTTACAATCACAACAAACATTTACAAAGAAAACACTTGGTGTCTGTGGCAGACAAAACAGACATTTTATGTCAGGACACATTTTATCAGAACACACATTTCCTGTCGAAACAAACAGTAACCATCCAAATACACAATTTCCTCTCAGCAAGAGAAATTTCCTCATAGCACACAATTTCCTCTCCCATGTTCAAGGGATGCAACTCCATACACATGGATAGATAACAAAAGACCACATGACAGTAACTTACTGCCACTCCTGGGAGACAGCAGGTGGAGCCCCACACTGACAGCCCCCACGCTCTGCCCCATGATAGTCACCAAGTTGGGGTTGCCCCGGAATGAGGAAATTGTCCGCTTCACGAACTCGAGTGCTCGAATCTGATCCCACATCCCATAGTTGCCAGGGGCATGCTGATCTCCAGTGCTCAGAAACCCTGTAAATGTGTCACACTTATGAGACATGTTGTTACCATGGGTTACATTGATCACAAATACAGCCTATAAAATTGAAACTTTTAATGGAAATAATGAAAGATTGGTAAATAATATGCTTTTGGGACTAGTTACCATTCATCTCATGAGTGAGTGAATGAATTTAGTTTTATGCCACTTTTAACAATATTCCCGCAATATCACGGAAGAGGGACACCAGAAATGGGTTTAACAAATTGTACTCATGTAGGAATTAAACCCCTTTTTCTCAGGAAAACAAAACTTGTTCAGCTTCTACAATAAAACACCCGTGAAGATCCTGGTTAGAAATGATCTTCAGCAACCCATGCTTGTCGTAAGAGGCGACTAACGGGATCGGTTGTTCAGGCCCGCTGACTGGGTTGACACATGTAATCATGTCCCAATTGTATAGATTTATGTTCATGCTGTTGATCCCTGGATTGTCTGGTCCAGACCCGATTATTTGCACTGACTGACTGAGTTTGGTTTTACGCCGCTTTTAGCAATATTCCAGCAACATCGACGGGGGACACCAGAAATGGGCTTCACACATTGTACCCATGTGGAAATTCGAACCCGGGTCTTCGGCATCACTAGTCAACGCTTTAACCACTAGGCTACCCCACGGCCCCCGATTATTTACAGACCGCCGCCATACAGCTGGAATTTGCTGAGTGTGGCGTAAAACTAAACCCACTCACTCACTCTACAGTGAGACCAGCAGCACCAGTACTAACCTAGAGCATTCAGCCTGTAGTTGAATGTGACAACTACAACTGATCTGTCGGCCAGGAACATGCCTGGATACTGTTGTCCAGATCCCATGGTCCATCCTCCTCCATGTATAAACACCAGCACTGGGTACAAGTTAGTACCTCCAAAATCATCAATTTTCTGAAATTTAAAAAAAAAAATCATCTTTATAATTGAATTGCTCAAATTAGTGTTTTACTGACACAGCAGAAAAAAATAAACCAGGCATAATTAATACAAATTACTTACAGAGATCCAGCATTAAACCAAACTCATTAGGTATTCAATATGATCAAACTATCACAGAATAACATTACATTTTCTACATTGTACGACCAAACATCAAAGCTTTGTAAGTTCCACATCAGTGTGAGTGACTGATACACAGAGATGGCTTAGTGTTCAAAATAAAACAATACATCCAGATTCACTTTTTCTAAAATTTGGTAAATCAAATAATGGCTTAACTTGACATCCCATTTAAGACTGCACATAGTCCTTCAGCATGTTCAGTCTGGTAGAAACACTGTCATGTCTGTTAGCAAAGCATGGTCTAATATCAGCACTTACCTTGCCACACACTTTTATGGAATAATGGAAAATGCAATGTAGTTTTTGGGGGGACTCACATATCAGAATGGTGGCATTCTTTATCAGCATGATCAGGCACTCAATTTAAAATAGAACAATTCATTTCAGGACCTTTCATGCTGCCTCTTTTCACTCTCTTGACAGAAGAGAAACCATAGTAGCAATTGTAAACAAAAATCATTTGATTGTCATCAAGCTTATCATGTATTGTCACTTACATCAGGTGTGTAGATATTAAGGTAGAGACAGTCTTCACTCGTTTCGCTGTACTCGGGGAGGGTCTCCCTGAGGAGCCACAGCTGCTGGGGACAGGCCGGGCGGTGGTAGGTGGCGTCCCAGATCCCGTACCAGGAAGGTGGCTCAGCATTCTGCACAAAAATATGGTGAGATTGCCACATAGCATAATACTGAAAAAACATCCAAAAGGTTCACAATTTATATTTTACAAGCCAAGACTAGCCTGCAGTCATTTTTTTAAAAGTGCAGATAAATATTTAGGACACTGAATACTATATATACTATATAGAGGTCATTCATTATTGCTGAGGTGACTGTCAGTGTTAACTTATTTCACACACTTTACCCCAGTCCTACAAACAGTAACTGTTTCCTGATAACATCCATTCGTTTAAGTGAGTGAGTAAGTGAGTTAAGTTTTACGCCACACTCAGCTATATTCCAGTTATATGGTGGCTGTCTGTAACATGGTAAATAATTGAGTCTGGACTAGACAATCCAGAGATCAACAGCATGAGCGCCAATCTACACAATTGGGGTACGATGACATGTGTCAACCAAGTCAGTGAGCCTCTGTAAATAATCAAATCTGGTTCAGACAATCCTGTGACTGACATGATGAAAATCAAACAAGTCAAAAAGTCTGACCATCTGACCAAGTTATCCCGGTTTGATAGAATCAGATATGGATCAAACGTTCAATTATTAGCCAGTGATTTCAAATATAACTTGGAATTACTAGTAACATAACTCAGAAGGGGGTTTGTTGATGATTTTAAAAGGGGCTCACCCATTTTGTTCTGGGGAAGCTAGGTGGGTCATCAATTTTGTACACACGTACTAGGGGGGTGAGGGGTCAGCAGGGAAAGATTTCCGCCCGTAACCCCCGTTTTTATCATTCTATAAGATTTATAGTAAGACTATATGTTTTTTTAATAGAAAGCCTACCGTAACCCTAACCCTAAACCTAACATAATGCGAAATCTAAACCATAAACCTAAACCCTAACCCCTTGAAATAATAATAATAAACAGAATACAGAATACATAAGCAAACTTCCTATGTACTTGTATAATTTCTTATGTTTGTTTGTTTTTGACAAAATATGCATTTTCCATCTCAGAAAAACAGTGCACAGTTTTGAAAATAGTTGCTATAAGATGTATACAACATTTTATCCTCATGACAAACTCAAAAGGAAAATTTAAGATAGTATCTATAAATTGTAGAGGCTTAAATAATAGTTTTAAAAGGAAACAAGTTTTCAGGTTTTGAAAATACAAAGTATATTTATTGCTTGCAAGATGTGCATTTCACAGCTGACCAAGAACAAATCATAAAACAGCAGTGGGGTTATAAAGAATGCTACATTAGTCCATTTAGAAGTAATGCAAAGAGGTACAGCTATCTTATTTAATAATACCTTTGAATTTAAAAGTACTGCAATGCAAGTTTGATAAAGAAGATGGTAACTATGTAGCAGTAGATGTTAGCATTGATGATAAGATATTCACTTTAATCAATCTCTATGGGCCTAATTCTGATAAACCTGAGTTTATTAGGAAGACAAAAGAAATTGCTGGGAATTTAACATGTGATAAACTTATTATATGTGGAGATTGGAATTTAGTTTTAGACCCTGATAAAGATACTTACAATTATAAACATATAAATAACCCTAAAGCAAGACAGGAATTACTCAAAACAATTGATATATTAGATCTTAAAGACCCATGGCGAGAGTTTTACCTATCAGCTCGAAGATTCACCTGGCGACAACCAACACCATTAAAAACAAGCTCGTTTAGACTATTTTCTAGTTTCCATTATATTCTCCAGTCCATTGAGAAAGTGATATCATACCTAGCATAAACTCAGATCACTCTATAGTATCTCTTACAATTTCACTTTCGGGACATGCAAAGGGGAAAAGGATTCTGGAAATTCAATAATTCATTACTAAAGGAATATGTAGAAATGATTAAAAAAACAATAAATAACACTCTTGAACAATACGAAGACAAAACTGTTAAAGATGGAAAGATGTTTACAATAAATGATCAGTTATTATTATGGGAGATGTTACTTTTAAATATTAGAGGAACATCAATACTTTTTTCATCCACTCGTAAAAAAGAATATCTAGCTTTGGAATCGAATCTAGAACAGAAACTAAGTGAAATTGAGATTAAACTGGGAGACGTAGCTAGTAGACAGTCAGACGTATTACTAGAAGAATACAAAGCAACTAAACTTGAATTAGAAAACTTACATAAAGTAAAAACACAAGGTTCCTTTATTAGGTCAAAAGCCAAGAGGATAGAACATGGAGAAAAAACATCCAATTACTTTTTAAAATTAGAAAGTAGAAATTTTCTAACTAAGTCTATCTCAGCTCTTGAAAAACCAGATGGTACGTTATTGAAGAAACAACATGAAATCATTCAAGAAGTGAAACATTGTTACGAAAAACTGTATGAAACTGAAGACTGTACACAGATTGATCTTGAAAACCTTTTTGAGAAAGTATCAGTGCCTAGGTTAGACTGTCAAACATCACTTTCCTTAGAAGGGGAGTTGACCTATAATGAAGTACCTGAAGCACTAACAAAAATGAGTCCTGGCCCAGATTGCTTCACAGCAGAATTTTTAAAGTTCTTTTGGTTAGACCTCAATAAATATTTAATAAATGCTTTAAATTATGCATATAAAACAGGGGCCTTATCTACTACTTGTACTGAGTACTACCCAAAAACAAGGTCTAATCACTTGCTTGCCTAAAGAAAACACATCAAAACTCTTTCTAAAAATTGGCCCCTATTACTCTTTTAAATACTACTTATAAATTAGCTGCATTGACAATTGCAAATAGAATAAAGCCAATCTTACCACTGATTATTCATGAGGATCAAAAGGGTTTTGTATCGGGTAGATATATAGGTGAAGTGACTAGACTTATTTATGATATATTAGACTATACAAAATCATACCAGATACCAGGCTTACTACTACTTATTGATTTTGAAAAGGCATTTGATTCTGTGGATAGAAAATTTATACATAATGTACTTAACTTTTTCCGCTTTGGGCCCAGTATTCAAAATTGGATAAAATTATTTTTCGAAAACATTGAAACAAGTGTTTTGGTTAATGGTTTTGCAAGCCCCTTCTTTAAGGTTACAAGAGGTTGTCGTCAGGGGGATCCTATATCACCATATCTCTTCATATTATGCATGAAATCCTAGCAATAATGTTAAGAAATAATAAAATATAAAGGGATTAAAACTTGGTAATATATATTTCCTTCTAGCACAATAGGCAGATGATACCACCCTTAGTTTAGATGGATCAGAAAAAAGTCTCTACTCTACAATGAGTACATTATCCTTTTTTAACAGATTTTCAGGATTAAAAGCAAACACAGAAAAAATTTTTTGATATGGATAGGTTCCAAAAGAGATCAAACTCTGTAAAGAGTAAAGTTGGACTGGACACAAACACAGTTTAAGCTATTAGGTATTGAATTTGATATTGATTTAGGAAATATGGTTAATCTGAACTATGTAAATAAATTAGATAATATTGAAAAGAAATGGAACATTGGACAAAGAGAACTTTAACACCAATGGGTAGAAATATTGTGTTAAAATCATTATTACTACCTAAACTAAAACCATTTATTCAGCAGTATACCAAGCCCACCTAAAAATATAATAGAAGCTTTTCAAAAGAAATGTTTTCAATTTGTTTGGAAATTTAAACCAGATAAAGTCAAGAGAGATACAATGTCACTACAGCCTAAGTATGGTGGCATAAGTGTACCCATATTAGAAAAAGTTATTGCAGCTCAGAAACTTTGTTGGATCAAAAGACTATCTGTTAGTAAGTCCAAATGGGCATGTTTCTTTTATGATCATTTAGTTGAGGCAAAAATAGTAAATTTGGCTGATGCTTTCTACATAGAAAACAATATTGTCCAAAATATCCACAACCAGTTTTGGAAAGAAACACTGTCAGTATATGCATCATATTTAAATTGTTGTGATAATATTGAACTATCTGTTACGGATGTAATGAATAAGTCAATCTGGTACAATAATAACATAACAATTGATGATAAGCCAGTATATTTTTCCCATCGGTATGAAAAAGGTATAACATATATTAACGATTTCTTCAACGATACAGGAAATTGGTTTAATTTCCATGAATTTATTCAAAAATATACTTTGAATACAGACTTTTTAACATTTCAAGGGTTGAAACAATCTATCGCCCAATACATGTACTTACAAAGAATTAACTTTAGTCAAATACAAGACATCACTCAAACACCAATATTACCTTATAATATTTCTAAAATCAACAGTACTTCAGGTAGTAGATTATTTTCTGAAATGTTGCAAAATTCTAAATTTACAAAACTTAAAAGCTATAGCAAATGGGAGCTTTATCTTAATAAACACATTACTGAAACAAAATGGATAAACTATAGTTTGATGGCAAAAAGATGTACACAAAGCAGTGACTTAAGATGGTTTCAGTTTAAGATTTTACATAATATTCTTAGCACTAATTGTTATTTATATAAGATTGGCTATGTTAAGTCACCAGCATGTTCATTGTGTAAAGATCCAGCTGAAACTATAGCACATGTGCTTTGTAATTGTCAATATGCAATAGATATTTGGACAAAATTTACTGAATGGATTGAAGGATACATGGAAAGTAAAATTCACTTAAGTGAAGAACATATATTATTTGGATTTAAAGGTAAACATAATAATCCTCTTAATGTGGGGATAATAATAATCAAATATATGTTGTATAAATGTAGTAAGAAAACAGTGAAACCTAATTTTATATGGTTTCAAAAGAAGTATTAAAATATTATGAAATCTCAAAATTTATTGCCTTTTCTAATTGTAACTATGCAAGTTTTCATTCTTTCTGGTCATCCTTCCATTTTACTTTTTCGAAATACTATAACTGACTGACTGTAACTACATGTATTTTGTATATATGTGTACTATATATATAAGAGGTAATGTACACACTATGTATTTACATCAACACTACTCACTGTACACTAATGCGAAATCTAAACCATAAACCTAAACCCTAACCCCTTGAAATAATAATAATAAACAGAATACAGAATACATAAGCAAACTTCCTATGTACTTGTATAATTTCTTATGTTTGTTTGTTTTTGACAAAATATGCATTTTCCATCTCAGAAAAACAGTGCACAGTTTTGAAAATAGTTGCTATAAGATGTATACAACATTTTATCCTCATGACAAACTCAAAAGGAAAATTTAAGATAGTATCTATAAATTGTAGAGGCTTAAATAATAGTTTTAAAAGGAAACAAGTTTTCAGGTTTTTGAAAAATACAAAGGCGCATATTTATTGCTTGCAAGATGTGCATTTCACAGCTGACCAAGAACAAATCATAAAACAGCAGTGGGGTTATAAAGAATGCTACATTAGTCCATTTAGAAGTAATGCAAGAGGTACAGCTATCTTATTTAATAATACCTTTGAATTTAAAGTACTGCAATGCAAGTTTGATAAAGAAGATGGTAACTATGTAGCAGTAGATGTTAGCATTGATGATAAGATATTCACTTTAATCAATCTCTATGGGCCTAATTCTGATAAACCTGAGTTTATTAGGAAGACAAAAGAAATTGCTGGGAATTTAACATGTGATAAACTTATTATATGTGGAGATTGGAATTTAGTTTTAGACCCTGATAAAGATACTTACAATTATAAACATATAAATAACCCTAAAGCAAGACAGGAATTACTCAAAACAATTGATATATTAGATCTTAAAGACCCATGGCGAGAGTTTTACCTATCAGCTCGAAGATTCACCTGGCGACAACCAACACCATTAAAGCAAGCTCGTTTAGACTATTTTCTAGTTTCCATTATATTCTCCAGTCCATTGAGAAAAGTGATATCATACCTAGTATAAACTCAGATCACTCTATAGTATCTCTTACAATTTCACTTTCGGACATGCAAAGGGGAAAAGGATTCTGGAAATTCAATAATTCATTACTAAAGGAATATGTAGAAATGATTAAAAAAACAATAAATAACACTCTTGAACAATCACGAAGACAAAACTGTTAAAGATGGAAAGATGTTTACAATAAATGATCAGTTATTATTATGGGAGATGTTACTTTTAAATATTAGAGGAACATCAATACTTTTTCATCCACTCATGAAAAAAGAATATCTAGCTTTGGAATCGAATCTAGAACAGAAACTAAGTGAAATTGAGATTAAACTGGGAGACATAGGCTAGTAGACAGTCAGGCGTATTACTAGAAGAATACAAAGCAACTAAACTTGAATTAGAAAACTTACATAAAGTAAAACACAAGGTTCCTTTATTAGATCAAAAAGCCAAGAGGATAGAACATGGAGAAAAACCATCCAATTACTTTTTTTAAAATTAGAAAGTAGAAATTTTCTAACTAAGTCTATCTCAGCTCTTGAAAACCAGATGAATGCGTTATTGAAGAAACAACATGAAATCATTCAAGAAGTGAAACATTGTTACGAAAAACTGTATGAAACTGAAGACTGTACACAGATTGATCTTGAAAACCTTTTTGCGAAAGTATCAGTGCCTAGGTTAGACTGTCAAACATCACTTTCCTTAGAAGGGGAGTTGACCTATAATGAAGTACCTGAAGCACTAACAAAAATTGAAAAATGATAAGAGTCCTGGCCCAGATTGCTTCACAGCAGAATTTTTAAAGTTCTTTTGGTTAGACCTCAATAAATATTTAATAAATGCTTTAAATTATGCATATAAAACAGGGGCCTTATCTTATCTACTACCCAAAAACAAGGTCTAATCACTTGCTTGCCTAAAGAAAACACATCAAAACTCTTTCTAAAAAATGGCTCTCTATTACTCTTTTAAATACTACTTATAAATTAGCTGCATTGACAATTGCAAATAGAATAAAGCCAATCTTACCACTGATTATTCATGAGGATCAAAAGGGTTTTGTATCGGGGTAGATATATAGGTGAAGTGACTAGACTTATTTATGATATATTAGACTATACAAAATCATACCAGATACCAGGCTTACTACTACTTATTGATTTTGAAAAGGCATTTGATTCTGTGGATAGAAAATTTATACATAATGTACTTAACTTTTTCCGCTTTGGGCCCAGTATTCAAAATTGGATAAAATTATTTTTTGAAAACATTGAAACAAGTGTTTTGGTTAATGGTTTTGCAAGCCCCTTCTTTAAAGGTTACAAGAGGTTGTCGTCAGGGGGATCCTATATCACCATATCTCTTCATATTATGCGCAGAAATCCTAGCAATAATGTTAAGAAATAATAAAAATATAAAGGGATTAAAACTTGGTAATATATATTTCCTTCTAGCACAATAGGCAGATGATACCACCCTTAGTTTAGATGGATCAGAAAAAAGTCTCTACTCTACAATGAGTACATTATCCTTTTTTCACAGATTTTCAGGATTAAAAGCAAACACAGAAAAAATTTTTTTATATGGATAGGTTCCAAAAAGAGATCAAACTCTGTAAAGAGTAAGTTGGACTGGACACAAACACAGTTTAAGCTATTAGGTATTGAATTTGATATTGATTTAGGAAATATGGTTAATCTGAACTATGTAAATAAATTAGATAATATTGAAAAAGAAATGGAACTTTGGACAAAGAGAACTTTAACACCAATGGGTAGAAATATTGTGTTAAAATCATTATTACTACCTAAACTAAACCATTTATTCAGCAGTATACCAAGCCCACCTAAAAATATAATAGAAGCTTTTCAAAAGAAATGTTTTCAATTTGTTTGGAAATTTAAACCAGATAAAGTCAAGAGAGATACAATGTCACTACAGCCTAAGTATGGTGGCATAAGTGTACCCATATTAGAAAAAGTTATTGCAGCTCAGAAACTTTGTTGGATCAAAGACTATCTGTTAGTAAGTCCAAATGGGCATGTTTCTTTTATGATCATTTAGTTGAGGCAAAAATAGTAAATTTGGCTGATGCTTTCTACATAGAAAACAATATTGTCCAAAAATATCCACAACCAGTTTTGGAAAGAAACACTGTCAGTATATGCATCATATTTAAATTGTTGTGATAATATTGAACTATCTGTTACGGATGTAATGAATAAGTCAATCTGGTACAATAATAACATAACAATTGATAATAAGCCAGTATATTTTTCCCATCGGTATGAAAAGGTATAACATATATTAACGATTTTTTCAACGATACAGGAAATTGGTTTAATTTCCATGAATTTATTCAAAATATACTTTGAATACAGACTTTTAACATTTCAAGGGTTGAAACAATCTATCGCCCAATACTTACAAAGAATTAACTTTAGTCAAATACAAGACATCTCTCAAACACCAATATTACCTTATAATATTTCTAAAATCAACAGTACTTCAGGTAGTAGATTATTTTCTGAAATGTTGCAAAATTCTAAATTTACAAAACTTAAAAGCTATAGCAAATGGGAGCTTTATCTTAATAAACACATTACTGAAACAAAATGGATAAACTATAGTTTGATGGCAAAAAGATGTACACAAAGCAGTGACTTAAGATGGTTTCAGTTTAAGATTTTACATAATATTCTTAGCACTAATTGTTATTTATATAAGATTGGCTATGTTAAGTCACCAGCATGTTCATTGTGTAAAGATCCAGCTGAAACTATAGCACATGTGCTTTGTAATTGTCAATATGCAATAGATATTTGGACAAAATTTACTGAATAGATTGAAGGATACATGGAAAGTAAAATTCACTTAGTGAAGAACATATATCATTTGGATTTAAAGGTAAACATAATAATCCTCTTAATGTGGTGATAATAATAATCAAATATATGTTGTATAAATGTAGTAAGAAAGCAGTGAAACCTAATTTTATATGGTTTCAAAAAGAAGTATTAAAATATTATGAAATCTCAAAATTTATTGCCTTTTCTAATTGTAACTATGCAAGTTTTCATTCTTTCTGGTCATCCTTCCATTTACTTTTTCGAAATACTATAACTGACTAACTGTAACTACATGTATTTTGTATATATGTGTACTATATATATAAGAGGTAATGTACACACTATGTATTTACATCAACACTACTCACTGTACACTTAAAATACTTTCAATAGAAAAACATAAAGCTGCTGTAATGGAAATTGTAACATAAAAATGGAAATAAAAATTAAAAAATTAAAAAATAATGCGAAATCTAAACCATAAACCTAAACCCTAACCCCTTGAAATAATAATAATAAACAGAATACATTTCAAGCGGGGGTTACGGGCGGAACTCTTACCTCCATAAAAATCGCCCACACCCCATACATTATGAACGGTCCCTAATGACAGACCAGTAATAACCACTTGCATACCTTAAACCTGAATTCCCTTCGCCAATCACTGTACTGCTCAATGCGTTTAGCGTACGGTATCCCAAGGAACATGTTGATGCGCCAGTTGAACTTGGTCCCAAGACTGGATTTTATTCTCACACCTTTCACTTTACCATACACAGTATCTGTGGTGACATAGTCGCCGCTGTAACTATATCCACAGGTAAGTTCTATCACACCAATTAATATCACAGACAACAAGGTCAGGGCCCCTAAGGACCCCTTGCCCAATCGCATCATCATTGTCCCCATCTCTTCCGCGTTCTGTCAGCCATTTTCTTGTCACAAACGAACATGGCTGTTAGCCGTTTATAGTGTCACGTGATCAAGGTATTGCTTCATACCTGTGTTCAGGTGTGTCAAGAACGGTAACTCATGTGCGATCTACTCGGTGTCCCCAACAGTGAGAAGAGAGTCGAAATAGATGTGATGGGGGGCATTGCTTGTACCAGGGAGACTCTATAAGTTGTAGAGTATCCCTGCTTGTACTAGGCGAGACTAATTTCGGTTTCACACAACGCATGTGTAAATTGCTTTTGATTAGCTTATCAATTTACAGACGTTTTTCATTTCAAGTGTTGTATAGTAAAAGTGATTTTCTAAGTTAATTTGATAGAATGAATCGTAACATTTGTGGAAACTATAATGGTCAATCTGTCTATTATGTTGTAATGTTTTCTGTGGAGCAGAACCGAACCAACATAACAGGGATCACGCAACGATAGAAAATGATGCACTGTAACAGTTACGTCACGAAATGTCTAACTATAATGAGAAATGATTATCAGAAATTGCGCACTTTCATTCAACCTACAGGTGTAGGGCGTTGTCCACTCATCAGTCTCTGATTTGTCTTACAGTTATTGAAGTACACAACGATTTCATACTCAGGTGTAATACTGCTGAACTTGGTGGGGGAAAACATTCACTCACTCACCATTAGCTGCTTATTGACTTTGGTGGTGGGGTAGCCTAGTGGTTACGGTGTTCGCTCGTTACTCCGGAGACCCGGGTTCGATTTTAAACGTAGGATTACAAACACCTAATGTTATAATATATGGTGAATGTGGACGATATCCTTTGTATATAAATGCCTTATGTCGAGTTATTAAATATTGGTTAAAACTTACAGAAATGCACTCTGGTCGAATACCAATAAAATCATATGACATCTCATTATATTTAGATAACATTGGGCAAAATAATTATGCTTCTCATATTCGTAATATACTTTTTCACATAGATTTGGCTTTGTGTGGTCAGCACAAAGTGTAGGTAATAAGGTTGATTTTCTTAGATGTTTTAAAGATTTATGTGTAAATATGTTTTACCAATCTTGGCATTGTACTCTTGACAACAGTTCACGCTACAATTTGTGTAGAGAGTATAAGTGTTTGCTGAAAAATATTTAAGTGTTATACATGAAATTAAATATCGTAATATTCTTATAAAATTCCGAGCAGGATTATTACGATTAAAAGTAAATGAAGGAAGATGGTTAAATATTGATGCATCTCTACTCACATGTCCTTTTTGTAAATTTGGAATTCTTTTAGTATGCAAATATTATTCAGAAGAAAGATTACGTTATTTTCCACATGTTTATAACAAATATATTTATATTCAAAAGCCTCCGCTTCAAATGAATCATTATTGAATTTATGTAAGTACCTGAATAAACTCCTTCTAAAAAGAGTCAGACTTTGTTAAACTCTTAAAGAACAAATAAACTTTGTTTATTTTGTACTCTTTTAACTATTACATATGAAAGATTTGTGGTTAGTCTTATGCGGAACACCAAATTTATTCTTAAAAAGCTTGTGGTTAATTAATACCGAGCGATTAAAAGTTGCCAAAAAGTCGCCTGCTTCACTCTGAGAATTGTGCACTGTTGTCAAAAAGGTCGATTTAAGTTAATTAAAGATCGAAATGAGTAGTTTTAATGACGGGGTTTCATTTATAACGATCCCAATTAGTGATTTATGTATTTGAACCCCTAGAGTATATGTGATCTTTAATTGTTTTACATCATGTTTCCAACATATTCTGATTGTATATATGTTATATGCATATGGGCAGGCGACCTTCACACACAATAAAGATCTTTGACTTTGACTTGGATTCTCCACATGGATATGTAATGTGTCATGTAATGTGTCAAACCCATTTCTGGTGTCTCCCGCTGTCTGTCTCCGGTGTCTGCTGGGATATTGCTAAACGCTACTTAAAATTAACTCAGCAGTGCTGAAGACTATCTATTTGAAACCGAACTGTCCTTTAGGCGTGCCAGCCATCGACTATTATGCATACCAGACTCACCCTGATTATGTATCTAGGTTTGTTACTGTTAGCAGCATACCATTCCACCAAAATGGCAAACGTCTTACATCTGCATCACTTTAGCTTTCTCCACCATATTAAGGGGGCGATGGGATAGCCTAGCGGTCAAAGCGTTCGCTCGTCACGCTGAAGACCCAGGTTCGATTCCCCAGATGGGTACAGTGTGTGAAGCTCATTTCTGGTGTCACCGTTTCCCAATTGCTTTGATGGATGTTCTACGCCGCACTCAGCAATATTTCAGCTGTAAGGCGGCGGTCTGTAAATAATGGAGTCTGGACCATACAGTCCAGTGCTCAATACCGGCGTAGAACATCGATCTAAGCAATTGGGAAACGGTGACATGTGTCAACCAAGTCAGCGAGCCTGTCCACCAGATCCAGTTAGGACTTCGCCTCTTACGACAAGCATGGGTTGCTGAAGACCAGTTCCTACCCGGATCTCCGCGGGTGCTGGCATCTGGCGTCAAATTGACGAAGGACTTAAACCTCAATACAATGCTAAACCCGTTAAAGCTATTCCGTCCTTCACAAACTGTTTCTGTGTGAGCTCTCATGTTACCTGTGTATATTCAAACTTCCTGACACCATATCGTGACAATACCTCGGGAGAAGGTTCTTTAATCATTGATGACAGGGTATTTGTTGAAATGCACCGGACGAGAACATCCGGTGTTTGTACTCACTTTAAATGGTATTGGCTTTCATTTTCTGTTATTTTATAGGACCTTCTTTATACACATTTATTAAATATAAAACACTAACTCCAGAGAAAACACGCATCAACCATGTCAGCGAGCCTGACCACCCGATCCTGTTACTCGCCTCTCAGGTTTCTTGGTTTGTTGTTTTACGCCGCACTCAGCAATATTCCAGCTTTGTGACGTCGGTCTGTAAATAATCGAGTCTGGACCAGACAATCCAGTGATCAACATAACGAGCATCAATCTACACAACTGGGATACGATGACACATGCGTCAACCTGACCACCCGATCCCGTGGGTTGCTGAAGACCAATTCTAACCCGGATCTTCACGGGGAACCTTTTAGGAAAAGCGTGGGCTGCTGAAGGCATGTTCTAACCTGGATCTTCACGGGTAGCCTCTTAGGACAAGCATGGACCAACTTAATACAATCTTGTACATATATTGGATATAGAACGCAAACGCTGAAATTCAGACCAATCGGCTGGTACAGACTCTACTGGGCAGAAACCCAAAGCTCGTGGTGAACAATATATGAACTGAACGTCAGGCTCTGACACCAGGTGTTAACGAAAACAGAGGTAGCGGTCACCACTCATAAACATTGCACATATTGTCCTCTCAGTAAACTTCATATGTCATGCATATTGGACAAACTGTCTTGAAATTCTTAAGACAAGGACATCTATGGACACAACGTTTGGAAACAAACGCCCCGTGGATCAAGAAATGAAATCATAAAATTGCAAAATCAAATGTTTTGAGAGATTTTTGTCTGATTATTTTCTAAGATTGCAAAAAGTCAAGCGAAGCTAAGTATCACATGCATAATGTATAGGTATTCAACCACTTCCTCTCAGTGGTTCGGATAGGTATCAACATCGATTGTCCAAACTGCCAGTGTAGCGAGCACAGAGACAATGAAGACTTCTGTATTCTTAACCATCGTTATTTTTGTTAAGTATATACTTTTAATCGAAGCTGATGCTGTGATAGACCAAAGTTTTGAGACACGAAGACTAGGGATCAAGCAATGTCTGGAATTGAGTCTCCAAATTGTATCGATAGAAATGAGATACAACCCCGATCAGTTGCTGTGTCAGCTTCTTGAACCCAGGGATATGCGGTGTAGATGTATCAGGCATACACACTCTTCTAAGGTGAGTGCATCTGTAGAGTATGTGGAAGTGAAAAAGGGACGTTCTTATACCCTCCCTCATATTCATCTGACACTTCTCAGTTTCTAACAAAAGATATAGAGAATCTCACCCGAGTGTCTTTTGATATCACCACGAGTTGTTTTTTTCAATATTTTTATTCATTTCAGTGAAGCATACAGGATGGCATATGAATATCATTTGATGAAATAGTAGACAAGCATGACATATGCATTGAGTACTAAGAAGGTGTAATCCCGAACCCGACACATGTTACATTTGATTTTCATAAAGTATCAAAAAGTAGTATAGTGAAATATCCGTATTGACATAGCAAACATTTTGGTCCAGCCAAAACAATACAATAAATAGCGCATGATACACTTATAGAAAAAGTATTGTAGTTTGAGGATATTATTTCAGTTCCTTCTATGGTAAATATGGTACAGTGAAATAACTGTGTTAGCATAGCACACATTATAGCTAAGTATAATAGATATAATAGCGTAAAGCACTTTTATAGTAGGTATTGCATCGTACATTTATAAGAGAAAAATACAGTAAGGCAAAGGATATTCTATCCGTTCCTTGTGAAAGCAAGAATCATAGTTTGAGGATACTATTTCAGTTCCTTCCATGGTGAAGATGGTACAAAGAAATAAATAAAAGGATATTGTTTCAATTCCTTGGGCTATTACCGCAATGTTGTTATTTTTCTAATGTATGATGGAATAACAACATTTACATAGCAAGCAGTATAGTCTGGTATGCCAAGTAAGGATAATAATACTTGGTACACACCCAAAATAAAGTAGAGTCAGGCTACAAATATATATTGGTACTACAGTTTCAATTCCTTGGGCCATTTTCTCTGGAACTTTGCCATGTTGTTATTTTTTCTGGCTATATATCTTTCAATTGATAGAAGATTTTTTAGTGAATTTAGAAATTTGTCCAAAGTCGGTTTTCTATCATTTATACTGGCTAGGTATATGAACCTTTTTCCAGCAAGAATGATGTTATCAATAAAAAGGTAGCCAGTGTTAATCCCCAGTAATATTGTAAATTTCGTAAATAGGATATTAATATTAACAGTATTTTTAATATATATACTTAAGTCAT